CTGTGTCTGGACCTTTGGTGATCTCCTCTTCCTGGTCGGTAGGGAGATGACTCTCACTTCTTGTTTCAGCACCTTCAGAGCTGGGTACTACTGTGGTGTTGGGTGGACTCCTTGTGATGCAGTTAAAATTATCCTCTACTTTTCAAGGCAAATAGATAATCCAGCAGGGCTGGCTAGTAGCACAGTCTCCCACTGAATCAGGGATTGCTGCTCCCTTCTATAGCTAGACCCAGCTGTTCATTTGGCCCAACTTTCTCCGTTCTTCCTCACTCTTGGCAATTTCTCTCTGGGGCTCAGTTGTCTCTCCTTATAATCTTTCTTTCCTTATTCACTGCTCCCACCATTGAGTCTGAAGAGCAACCAAAGGATTTCTGGGACTTTGCAAAACTGGACTTGTGATTAGGTACCTGTGTTTGTCCCCAAACACTCCAAGAATTAAGAAGCTTCATGAAAATTACATGACAATGAAACTGATTCTCCCCTCTACCCACTCCAACCTCAGATTTGACCCCAACAAGACACTTTATAACATATATAAAGTACCTGGTTCATAGTAAACACTCAGAAAATAGCAACTGTAACTGTCACCCAGAATCAGGATTATCAGCAGTGTGAAGCTCAGAGGATCCAGGTCAGAGGATAGGAAGATGAATTTCTGTTTTCTCTTTGGCTGTTTAAAAAAATCACATACACTAAATATTAAGTGCTTTGCCATCCCTTTGAGGTCTCCTTCGTGTCATTACATGTTTTTGCCTAAGATATACTATCACTAGGAGAAGGTGATTTATGAGGCAAAGGACAGAATCAGTTTTAAAGTATCTCAGATCTTCTGGCCATTGTATGTCCTGTTCTCTCAAGCTGTGCGTGGGTGCAGCCTTAATAAACTTGGAGAATAAATAACTTTGCCAGTTGCAAAACTGGGACATGTAGAAGTTGGCTTATAACTGTATTACAAATGAACCTCAAAGTGGTGGGAGTGTCCTGTGGATCTGAAGGTGTGGTGTCCTTTTAGTTAGAAATTGCAAAAAAAACAAAAAACAAAACTTGTGAAGGAATTTCGTTTTATTTAGGTTATAACAGTTGTAATCTTTTGATGTTTAATTTTACATTCTTTTTAGAATATTGAAACCAACTTCAAGTCAAGGGCATTTTTGTTTTTTTTAAGTTAGAATAAAATAAGTCTATATAGACTCCTTTTGTTCGGTTTTTCTTCTTTTCTCAGAAAATCATATTAGTTTATTTGAGCAACGTCAATTGTCTAAAATGGATCTAAAAGTAAAAATTACATTGGTAACATGAATGTTTATTAGTGGAAATGTTTCTGATCATAAAAATCTATGGATGAAATAGCACTTCATCTAGAAGAGTAACCCTGGGAGATTATCTAGGCCTGATAATTGCCCTTACTAATACCTTAGAAGTTATTTCTTGTTGTTCTTCATATTTTCTATCTAAATATTAAAATAATACTGCTGTGTGTGTGTGTGTGAGAGAGAGAGAGAGAGAGAGAATATGTGTGTGTGCATCCTGCATTTGCTGATCTAGCCCGTGGGAGAATGTCTCGCTTTGTTCCATGAGTACCTTAACTACCCCACCCTACGTTAGACTTTTACTCTCAAAAGCAAATGGGCTGGACCACGGATTTTCATGTAAACGTTATGCAGGTTGATATTTGAATGGCTCGAACAGGAAGAACATGCTTCCTGCTCTATGCTGTCGGCATATGTTAGACTCATTGACTTGAGCCAATCTTCTACATGTAGGTAAGTCTCTCTTCTGAAATTTCTTTTTCTTGCTTTTAGTCAGTTTCTTGATTTTCCTTGGTTTTAAAATATATCCAGTAAATTATCTTTTTTATCATCTGCCCAGATCCTACAGTTGTTGTGTGTGTTAGGTTCTCCTGTGGGTTTAAATAGGGGTGCCTTTTGAAACTGGAAGAAAAGAGCACAATTGTAGAAAGTTTTTGCTGAGTTATTTTTCACCCCCCCTTCACAGGTACAGACACCCTGAGGGGCTATATCTCCAACTTTCATTAACTATAACCCTAAATTTGGAAGAAAAAAAATCTCCTTCTTTTATCTGCTTCTTCTTGTAAGGAGGAAAAAAATGTTAGACCAAATGTATGAAAATCTAGGATTGAGATGTGTTGTATATTATGTTGTTTTCTGATTAGTGAGATTTGTAAAGATTAATGAATTGGGAGTAATATCCAATAATATCCAATATCCTTGCAACAGAACAATGTAGTAATGTACAGCTACAAAATATATGCCATTTCTCGAAAATCACAGAATTGTTACTTATTTAATCAATAAATATTTTATGTTTACCAAAAGGTTTCACATATAAAAAATAGGACAAAAGAAGGGCTTTACACAGACCATATGGCAAATGAGATTTATTTCTAGTATAATGAAAGCAAACTGTATTTTTGCTATATTTATTATTTTGACTTTAAATAATAAACTTTTTTTTAAAAGACAAAGTTTACAGAAATAATGTGTTCCCTTTCCCCTGATACTGGAAATCAGTTTAATTGAATAGAAAATAACTGCATTCTCTTTCATACCTCTTAAATTCAAATACAGGTATTCATGACTCTGATTGGTATAAGAAGAAATATTTTTCTGACAAAATTAGCTTTTTAGTTAGTGCAATATAGTTATTATATATAATATATATTATTAATTATAGCACAGTAATAAGTGTTTTTTCAAGCCACACATAATAACAGATTTGTATGTTATGGTGGGTTAAATGGGCCTGATTTTTTTATTATTAAGGAATCAATCCTTGTTGACTTTTATGGAGGACACTTAATGAGACTGAAGAATGTTTAATATTTTCATATTTTTATAGCTTCATTTCTTACATATATATTGGCAGGTAGTTAAATAAGCATATACTAATTACTAGTACAATCTATTTAAATATCTTAAGGATAGAGCCAATATCATTTAACTACCTGTGAAGTATAAGGTATAATTTCTCTTCAAAATTTAATGCAAATATTACCCTACTCTGTTCTGTGCATGTTACTTTCCTCTGTGGAATGCTGCTTATAATTTACGAAGTATTTGTTTTACATATTTGTCTTTCTGACTGGCCTGTGAGCTCCTCTGGGACAAGGAATGTGTTTTTGGTCTCTCCAACCTTTCTGTTTTGTGCCAGAAACAGCCTTTCACTGTTTCTGGCACAAACTGGGCCTTTGATGAAAGTTGTTGACTTAAATTAAACTGATGTCACAAGAGGCTTCAGTTACATATAATCTGACACAAAGACATTTAAAGCAGGGACAAAAATGAAATAAAAGAGAAGATTGCCCAACATTTATATGTAGGAGGATTAGGTGTACATTCTTGCTGTGCAAGTTTGTGGAGTTTTCTAAACATTTGAGGGGAACATTTTAAAAGTTTATATTCGAATCATCTACCAGTCTAAGACAATCATTGTGAAGTCTTTGCCTCTCCAATAGCCTTAGGGTATTTCAGAGACAGTTCTGTTTACAATGAAGACAGTTCTGTTTGCAATCAGACTGTATTTAGTCTGATTGTTTAGACTGTTTAGAGGCTGACACCACCATTCTGAATACTCCTGAGAAATTACTTTATTCATTGGTTTTACTTTCCTTACCTGAAATAAGTAAATCTTTTTTTTTTTTCGTAAAACCCACTACATAAGGTTGTTGGGAGAATTAAATGAGATGATACGTAAAAGGGCTTTTGTAAATTTTAATGTGCTGAACAGATGTAAGCTATTGTTTTTTGTATTGGATAACTATACATTCAGCAAACTCTTGCTAAATCTTTATCTTTCTGTGACTATAGTCAGTATTATCTTGGAGAGATTCTAAATACGGTTTATGATATACGGCATCCCTCCATTGAAACCTGTCGTTGGTTGTGCCAGTTAACAAGAAGCTGTGTGTTTGATCATGGAATATTTAAATGTCTTCAGTTTTGCATTGTCTGTGCATATTTTGGATATGTCCAAGTGATTTCAGTTTTAATTTATTAAATTTTTATTTTTTTTCCTAAATAAACCAAACGATAATGAAAATATACTTATTGAATAGAAAAACTTTTTTTTTTTTTTAAATTTATTTTTTTGCGGTACGCAGGCCTCTCACTGTCGTGGCCTCTCCCGTTGCGGAGCACAGGCTCCGGATGCGCAGGCTCAGCGGCCATGGCTCACGGGCCCAGCCGCTCCGCGGCATGTGGGATCTTCCCGAACCAGGGCACGAACCTGTGTCCCCTGCATCGGCAGGCGGACTCTCAACCACTGCGCCACCAGGGAAGCCCCAGAAAAACTTTTTATTAAAGAGGAACATGTGTTCCCACTGTATTTTTTGAAAGAGAATAAGTGAACCTAATCTCCTGAAGTTCCCCCCAAATTAGGAACTCTTGATAAACGTTAAGAAGCTCAAATGAGACTTTCACATGCTTGCCCTGGAAGGCTGGGACCACAGTTTTGTTAAGTTCTTTTTGAGCCCCATGTAAGAGGTGCTGACGTGGATGTAATCCCTCAGATCTTTGAGAATTGGATTAACTTTAAAATGTATTATGTGTCTAGCTAGAAAATTGAGAACCATTTTTAAATCAACAGGCCAAAAGTTTTAAGTTGAGTAATATTTCCATAAATAGAAATGTTGTTTTATGCCCACCTAGAATGTTCTGTTTAAAGAAAACTTAAGTTCATGATATAAACTCTATCTGCCCTTTAAGTTTAGAATTTGTTTTGCCCAAGAATTTAAATTTTCTTTAAATATTGGGCTCGTAAGTATACTTAAAATTGGATTTTTTTTTTGCAAGTACAGCTTTGAGGAAGTATGTATATCAGTCTGCCCTGTACCATCCCATTCCCATATCCTCTGCAGAAGAGCAAAGCAAATATGGGTTCATTTAAAACTGTATGAAAATGTTTGCTTAACACAACTTCTCTGGAATGGAAAATGTCAAATTGTTAAACTTGTTTCTCTCTCTCTTTTTTTTTATCTTAAGGAGAATGGTGTTGAACGCTTATATTCTGAGAGCCTGCCACAGTCCAGGTTTGCTTGTTTGTTTCTGTGTATGACTTTTGATGCATATTCAGTTAATTTCTAAGAGAATTCTTTGGACCAGACACTCTAAAATACTTCTACTTTTTTGACAGGGAATATTCCACCCTACCATCTCCTGGACACACTTCATCCACAGAGAGTACTGTAACTTCAAGTGGTGAGTAGATTAGAAAAGATATAAAAATAGAGTGTTAGTATTATAACTATAAGCTTGGATGTTCTGTGACCTGCTAAGGTGTGTGCAAATGAAAAGGACACAAGCAAATAATCCTTTTGCATAGTATTCATGCTGTTAGTTTCCTCCTGTTGATAGATTCTGGATCAGAAATTTTGCATATGGCTTCTGGTGTCATTGATTGTAAACCACTCTGTGAGAAAGAGGAGGATAAAAGATCAACTTCTGCTGTGAAGAAGATCAAAGGTAAGCTGTTGAAGGGTTCAAGACGAGTTTCCATTTTAAAACACTAAGCAAACTTGGAAGCTAGTGGAGTAACCATCCTCAGTGGCTCAGTAATACTATTTTATAAAAGAAGTTTGAAGACATAGTCTGGAGAAAAGAAGTCCAGAGGTGACCATGGCCTTCCTATATGACAATGTCACCAACTTTCTTCCAATTCTGTATTTAAAATAAAAATTACAGTATATTTTAATGGGATTTAAATATTTCCTTATGGCCAAAATTGATTGGACACACCTGAGTCTCAACTGTGATGCAGATGTGGAATCACCTCCTTAGGAAATTCTCAGAATCCTAGTTAGAATCTACTGGGTTAAAAGGATGGACCGATTAGTGATGGTCCACTCAGGAGGCAGATATTAACTAGATAACATGTTAGATCCTTTTCTGCCATTTGAGTCTGAAAATAAAGTGCTTATTCTGAACCGTTCCCAGTGAGACATCACTACAGTTGACACTCATGGGATACATAGGCTCTCATTCCAACCAAAAACACCGATCAAGGAAAACTCATCTAATGTTTAAATTGGGACAATTAAATTTGAGACACAGGTGCTAAGTTAAAGGAGCTGTAAAATTGTAGAAATGGAATCCATTCCTTCAGTTGACTGAAGAATATCTTTATATTCTACCTCACACCAAATAAGAAAAATTTTAATTAAAACTGCACCAGGATGCTATTTTTTACCTGTCATGTAGACAAAGATAAAAAATTTGATTGCACACTGTTGGTAAGGTTGTTGGGGGGAAAAGAATTCTCATACACTGCTGCAGGGAATGTAAATTATTGTAATTAGTATGGAGAGGAATTTGACAATATCTACCCAAAATTTAAATGTACATATTCCATGATAAAACAATTTGGTTTCTGGGACTTTATCCTGTAGATCTAAGTACATACATACTATATGATGTATATGGAAGTTTATTTACTGCAACATTGTTTGTAACAACAAAATATTGGAAACAAGTTAACGATCAGTAGAAGACTAATTAACATATTTTGGCATATCCATGTAATGGAATACTAGTATACATCTGTAAAACATATATAAGGAAACTTTTTTCTTGGAAGGATATCAAAGAACTATTTTTTGTGTGGAAAAACGCCAAAGTACAAAACATTATGTACTGCATGTAAAAATTTGTGGAAAAAAAATAGAAAAAAGTTTTTGTGTATATATAAAATATCTCTGCAAGGCTAGACAAAAATTTGTAACATTGTCTATGAGGAGGTAAAGTAGGTTTCTGGCAGGCGTGATGGGAGGGAAAATTTTCACTGGAAAACAATTTTACGCTTTTTCATTTATGGGCCATATGAATCTACTACCTGTTTTAATTTTTTTTTTTAAGAACTAAAATAAAATTTCCATAGGGAAAAAATTTTATATCCCTGAAGAAAGGGGTTACCATTTTGCTCTTATTTCCATGTAAATTAAAAATATCTAATACATCCTTTAACTATTCTGTTTTCTTAAAAAGAAAGAAACGAAATCTGACTATAGCCGCTGACCTTTGTGCCTGCACTGAACTAAAGTCAGGACAATGGATCATGTGAAGAGGAAAATCATCATCAAGTACATTACAATACAAATAAACAAAGGGAAATTACAAAAAGGAATGGCATAAATTAAAAGTGCATCTTTTCTTCTTAGTTTGATTACATTTTATTTAGAAAGATACTGTGTTTTGGAAGGATATACTTTGTTATCAGCCTTGCATATATAATTGTTAAAAACCTGTTTGTCAATCTATAAAAAAAAAAAGCTACTAAGTTACTAATTGTTCATTCTTCTTTCCTTCAGTTTCTGTAATTATACTAGTAACGTGTTTGATTTAAAAAAGCAGCAGTAGCTGCTTTCTATTTTAAAAACCCTCTGTTTGAAAGCCATTTATACAGGTATTCATTTCTGTTAAAACATCTTATATGGTTAGCTTCCTTGGGAACTTTAGCTGACCTAGTCCTGAATCTGAATGAATGGACACATTGAAAGTTTTTTAGTACAAAATTTGTCTCACGTGTTAAGCAATTTGCCACTTACTAGTCCGCCCGCATTGCCACCCTCACTATTCCTTCCTCTTTTACTTGTTACTGCTCCCCCTCCCCCCAACACTGTTGATGTGTATCCTCCTTCTTATAGGTGGAAGTCCAGCTCCTGAAAATATTGCACTCCAAGGCTCTGTGAATGAAGAAAAAATCATGTCAAATCAGGTAAGGAGGGGCTTCCCTGGTGGCGCAGTGGTTGGGAGTCCGCCTGCCGATGCAGGGGACACGGGTTCGTGCCCCGGTCCGGGAAGATCCCACGTGCCGCGGAGCGGCTGGGCCCTTGAGCCATGGCCGCTGAGCCTGCGCGTCTGGAGCCTGTGCTCCGTGGTGGGAGAGGCCACAACAGTGAGAGGCCCGCGTACCGCAAAAAAAAAAAAAAATCAGGTAAGGAAATATATGCATGTTAACAGTAAAAGTAATGGTATGTTGCAATGATATTTAGAACTGTCCCTTTAAGTTTGCAAAATACTCTTAAAAGCACGATTGCATTTTATCCTTTCAAAATATTATGAGGTTAATAGAATTTAGTTATACTAATATTGTATAGATGAAGAAGTTGAGTCCAAACCATCCAGGGTCACTCAGTAGACTCAGGTAGGACCTCCTGACTCCACACTGATTTTTCTTTCATTCATTCATGCATTCATTCACTCATTTATTCATCAAAGATCTGCTGGAAACAAGCTAAATATCTATCTGTAGAGTACTCTTAAATAAATGAAGGCATTAATAAATAAGGCTAAACAAAACAGTGATATCTATCTTAAAGATGTGTTATAATTAATGGAAGAAACATACAATTACTCAGTAATTAGACTGGTCAGCGATATGAAAGAGAAACGGTTGGGGTGAGAGGACAGAAGAGGTGTCATGGAGGAGGTTCCTAGTGAGTGGTATCGAATGTTATACAGGTACATGGCAAACTGCTATAAAACATTATAAGGATGAATATTTAAATGTTTATAGAAAAAGAATTAAACTCCTTAAAGGGAAGGCATATCGCCACTGGTATGAATTTATAATTATTTGAAGGATAACTTACAGACTATGGGCAATTCTACGTTCCTTTAAGGGTCTTATTTATACATCAGTCCCTCTCTGTATTCTATGTGCGGAGGTGTGTGTCTGTGTGTCTGTGTGTGTGTATTATTATTGTTTTCCCCTCAGTGTATAAACATTCTATTAGTTAGGCCTATTTGATTACAAGAAACAGAGACTCATGCAACTAACTCAGGTTAAGAGAAGGTTGTGGCATGTATACATTGAAGGTAATAAGGTAGATAAAAATTTTGTACTATTCTTATCTGAAGGGAGTGGAGTAATTGGATATGTGATTTGGGATAATTCTTTGTAGTGTAAAGTATATATAAAGTGTAGTGTTGGCTAGCCCACATGCTGAAAGTGGTTGCCCCTTATAAAAAATGGACAGAGGAAAATTCAAGTCCTCTAGTCTTTCCTAGCTCATCTCAAAAAAAAAAAGAAAGAAAACTTAAAAAAATAATGGATTAGGAAATGTAGTAATGGAGGTGGAAAATTGGTTAGAATGCTATAGTAGTAATTCAGGCAAGAAATGAAGATAGTATGAATTTAGTGATGATGGAAAAAATGAGACTCATTTGAGAGATACTTGGGGTATAGCATTCACAGTACATGGTAACTGATAATCAGGGGTCTGGGAAAAGGTCAATACCCAGGTTTATGGCCTAACCTACAGAATGAATAGAATAACATGAGAGTAGGGGGGAGTTAGAAGAATTTGTGGGGTAAATTTAATTTAATTTAATTTGAGGTAAGTCAAGTTTCAGGTTGATATGAGACATCATTAATACCCTGTAAGGAGATTTTATAGATAACTATATACCCATATTCATAAGCTCACCCGTGGGACTTTCAGAAGCAGACACATATTTGTGAGTCATCAGCAAAGAACCAAGCAGGTGGATGAGATTCCCCAAGGAAGGAGGGCAGGCAGAGAGAGAGCACAGAGGATAATGGACTCTTGATGATTCCATTGCCTAATAAGAGAAGGCAGTGGTGGAGAAGACCAAGAAGGAGCTTTGTAGTGATGGGGGGACATCAGGAAAGGGGAACCAAGGGATGAAAAAAACTTCAAGAAGGAGGGGATTATAGATCGATTTGGATGCTACAGTGAGGTCACATAAGATAAAGGCTAGGGCTTCCCTGGTGGCGCAGTGGTTGAGAGTCCGCCTGCCGATGCAGGGGACACGGGTTCGTGCCCCGGTCCGGAAGGATCCCACGTGCCGCGGAGCGGCTGGGCCCGTGAGCCATGGCCGCTGAGACTGCACGTCCGGAGCCTGTGCTCCGCAATGGGAGAGGCCCGCGTACCACACACACACACACAAAAAGATAAAGGCTGAAAATTATCCATTGGATTTGGCAGTAGGGAGTTCACTGATAACTGGGGAGGGCAGTTTCCTTGGAGCGTTAGGTGCAGGGGCAGAGTAGTTCACTGATCACAAATGGGAGATGAGGAACTAGAGGACGTCACAGGGTTGAGGGGGGATTAAAAAAACTTGAGTATGTAAATATTGATAAGGATGATCCAGTGTTTTACCTGTATTATTTCATTTGTTACAGTTGTCCAGAACTTACATGACATGGTGTCAAGGGCCCTACCAAGGAAATTTGTCTTGGCCTTATTTTTTATGGAAAATTTCTGAGAATGTTGAATAATAATTATCCTAAAATAATTGTATACCTATAGCTTCTCCTTTAGATTTCCCCAGGCAGTATAGTGCAACTCTCCTATTATGGTGATTCTTGTATGGATACCTTTGTAGGACAGTTGGTCAGTGACCTTAAAATATATTCAGATGGAGTAAAAGCCAAACATAGCACAATCTTAGCAGCTATTTTGCCATAATTTCTCCAACAATCCATCTGGAAAGCTGTGTGTGATAGTCCTAGATCACCGCGCCCCCCACGCCCCCTCTTCATCCATTCAGTCCTATCTCTCCCTCAAGCTCCAGCTTGTTCCTTGTCTGCAGAGACTTTCCATGCTTCTTAACCCATGGTGTTGCTCTCTCCCTTTTGCAAAGCACATATTTATCTATCTCTCATTTACTTGGCAAGTAATCCTAGTTTGCTTTGAAGTAACTTGTATCGTGATTGCAGCTTTTCATGTACTTCTGTTTTTTATGCCTCAGCTAGATTAGAAACCCCCTTGGAGTCAGTCCTCTTTCCTTCTGAATGCCTAGCACAGTTCTTTGCATACTATAGAGTGTTTTTTGAACAGGGTAGGCAGGAGAGGACAGGAAGTCGAGAAATGATTGGTTATGAAGGATTTCCACTCTATGTTCAGCAATAAAATCTCTTTATGATTTTAGGAAGCCAAAGGGGAACCAGAAACAATAAATGAGCACAGAAAAGAATGTGTGGCAGGAGGTAAGGAATGTTCTCTTCCAACCCCTATGTGAACTTTTGTTCCCTGCTGGTATGTTTTATGGATGAAATCTTTCTGAGTAAAGATATGGCATCTACAACTCTGCATCTCTAGATAAAATCAGCCAAATAGAACTGATTTTGATTCAATTTGTAGCGTTTTCAAAAGGCCATATTTATGTTGCATTGCCTGTTAAGCCCAGAGGTATTGTAATCACTAGTGCCCTATTGTGAACTGAGAACCATGCCAATGTTGGTAGCAAATTCTAAGCTCTACTCTGAGATTTTTTTATTGTTCCGTCTAATAGCAAATAAGCCAGTATTTGAAGAATGAGTGCTAATATGCTTCTCTCCCCATCTCCCTTCTGTTAGGACGGAATAGTGAATAGAGTTCTGGCTTTGGAGTCACTCACTGTATGCTTGGTCACTCTCTTACTTGCTGTGACTTTGGCAAAAGCTATTTAACCTTGAGTCTTAATTTCTTCATCTGCAAAATGGAAATGATGAGTAAAAAAAAAAAAGAAAGTACCATTTATGAAATATAGACTGTACTGTAAGTACTAGGCTAAATTCTCTATATGCATAGTTTTATTTAGTTCTCCCCAATACCTGTGTGAGCTAGGTAAGCTGCAATTCAGTTTCCTAGCCTATAAACTGTAGATAAGAACGGTACCCACTACAGAAGGTTAGCTGTGAGGATTGAAGAAATTATGTAAAAAGCATTTAGAAAAGTGCCTGATAAAAGTTCTCATAAAGGTTAGCTACTATAGAAAAATCATCCTTATTTTGTAGATGGTTTGATGAAGTTGTGACCTGTTCCAGGTCACTTAGTTTTAAGGATCAAAGTGTCGACTGAAAAAAAATGCACAACCTAAAAGTTGAGAATTATGTTTTATCCGCAGATTTACTGAGGACTTAAGCCTGGGATATAGCCTCTCAGATAGCTCTGAGGGACTGTTCCAAAGAGGTAAGGGAAGAGACAGGACATACAGGAGATTTTGCAAAACAAAACAAAACAAAAAACCACCAGGTAGTCCAATATCAAAAGATAACTGCTAATTATAAAAAAACCCCAGACACCTCAAGTTAATGAATTTAGCCCTTTTCTATGTATGGGAAGATGCAAGAGTCTGGGCTTATTGAAATCATTCCTTTGATATATAGGGACAGTATCCTGCTTTTCTCCATCTTAAATCCCCTCAGGGTGCACCGCAGCTACGCAGCTACGGTGGCTGATGGCTTGATGAACACAGCATCATTTGTTTACTGAATGGCAGGCCACATTCTTTGTCCACAAAAGCTAGTATTTAAACCAGATCTTTTCAACTCTATACTTAATGCTCTTAATTACTATTATTGTCTTCTTTGTGAAGTAGTCATGAAGAGTATCATTAATATGTATAAAGAGGTTTGTTCTGGGACTGGCATACAGTAAACCTGTGGTAAATGATTGATATTGTTGCTGTTATTATTAGCAGTATTATTATTATTATACTATTGTTACTAGTACTCCTAGTACTACTACTACTACTACTACTACCCCAATACCTGTGTGAGTTAGGTAAGCTGCAATTCAGTTTCCTAGCCTATAAACTGTAGATAAGAACGGTACCCACCAGAGAAGGCTGGCTGTTGAGGATTGAAGAAATTATGTATAAAGCACTTAGAAAAGTGCCTGATAAAAGATCTCATAAAAGTTGCTGGTTTTAAATCCTTGGTCCACAGGAAAACCAGGGTACCAGATGAAGCCATGCATTTAACCATGGAATCAAATCAAATAAACATTCAAATGCAGAAAGAACAAATTGGGCTGTTCCTTGACTCTGAGACATCTTCAGGTCTTCAAAGACTATTCACGCGCTGAAGTGTGAGCCCATAATTTCAACATGGTCGTGATCCCCAAAGCGTAGCATAACGTTATCTTATATTTAAGCAAATGCGTTATTAGCTGGCAGTCTTCTCAGACATATTTCAATGAACGCCTTTGTTTAGTGGAGGGAGGCCCTAACAACATAGGATTTAATGTGCCTGTAGCTGTTAAGCCTGTTTAACCAAATACTATCTTATTGTCTTTTTTTTTTATCTTATTGTCTTTTAATAGGCGCTGCTGTTTCCTCTCTTCCTGTGAAGTCAGTTAACTTTAGACAAAGTGACAAGTAAGCTCCTCCTCATATAGCACGCTCACATTTTTTGCTTTTCTGTTGAACTATGTTTGAGTAAGTTCTTTCTCTTATCTTACAGCACTTCTGCTAATGAGAAGGAGGTGGAGGTAAGTTTCAAGCAAATGTTTTTTCCTTTAGTAAAAAAAATACGTGTTTCAGACTCACTCACCTGCAGTCCCTGCGAGCTTTTGCACAAGCTGTCGTACGTTTGGTGTCTGTCTGGCTTGGCCATGACAAAGTGCAGGGAAAGCCTATGCATGCCAGCATTGTGTCACTGGGAGGAGAAAGAAATGCCTCAGTGTAATTTGGTATTAAACTGGAAATTTGACTACATCCAATGTTCTGTCCTCACCCTCACATTATTTTGACAACAGGCCGAATTTCTCAGGTTATCTTTGGGATTTAAATGCGACTGGTTCACCTTGGAGAAAAGAGTGAAGCTTGAAGAAAGATCCCGTGACTTGGCAGAAGAAAATTTGAAGAAAGAAATTACTAACTGTTTAAAACTGTTAGAGGTGAGACTCATAACATTTGGGGACTACACGTTCGGTTGTATTATTAATAAGGTTTTCAAAATTACATAAGAGTTTACTTGTATGACTAAAACCAACACTAGGTACCAAGCCCTGCCTGACTCAAATGTGAATTAATAGGAGGTAAGAAATCAGGATCAGGCTAAGATAAAAGGCTCACCAATAGAAGGGCATAAGTAATAAAACAAATAAATGTCGTTTAAAGTAGTTATGTGAATCTTCTGCCATCTCTCTGTATCTTCAAATAGATTTCAGGCAGAAGAGTAATTATGCAGAAAACTGAGCAACAGGAGATAATATCAATGTTAAGCTTCAAAGAAGAGAATCAAAAGACGATTTCCATTGAATTAACTGAAAAAAGAGAACGGTGGCATTTCAGCCTTGTCAGATAATGGGCAAACCTTCTGTAAGGTACACAGAAGTGTAACAACTATTATTCTTCTATTTTGTGAAGTCACCATAAATATACGGATGGGTTGGAAAATTAAGGGGGCTAATTTTGGAAAAAGAAAATAAAAGTATAGAAACCATATTCTGTTTTTTTTACTGTGGTTAAAAAAGCACATAATGTAAAATTTACCATATTAACCATTTTAAGTGTACATCAGTAGTGTTGAGTATATTCACGTTGTTGTGAGATAGATCTTCACAACTTTTTCACCTTGCTTACTGAAACTCTGTAGCCATTAAACTATTCCCCTTTTGCCCTTCTGTCAGCCCATGGTAATCACCATTCTGCTTTCTGTTTCTATGAATTTGACTACTTTAGATAGCTCATGTAAGTGGAATCATATAGTATTTGTCGTTTTGTAACTGGCTCATTTCACTTAGCATAATGTCTTCAAATTCATCCATGTTGTAACATGTGGCAGGCTTTCCTTCCTTTAAGGCTGAATGAAATATTCCATGGTATGTATATACCACATTTTGTTTATCCATTCAGTTATTGATGGACATTTGAGTTACTTCCACCTCTTGGCTATTGTGAACATTGAATATTGTTGCTGTGAACATGGGTGTGCAAATATCTCTTCAAGACCCTGCTTTCAATTCTTTTAGAAATATGGCCAGATGTTGGATTGCCGGATCATATAGAGCTCTATTTTAAGTTTCTGAGGAACCACCGTACTGTTTTGCACAGTGGTGTTACCATTTTAAAATCCTACTAACAGTGCACCAAGGTTCCAATTTCTCTACATCCTGGCCAACATGTTATTTTCTGTTTTCTTTTTTTTAAAATTAATTTATTTATTTTTGGCTGCATTCGGTATTCGTTGCTGCGTGCGGGCTTTCTCTAGTTGCAGTGAGTGGGGGCTACTCTTTGTTGCGGTGCACCAGCTTCTCACTGTGGCGGCTTTTCTTTGTTGCGGAGCATGGGCTCTAGGCGTGCAGGCTTCAGTAGTTGCAGCACATGGGCTCAGTAGTTGTGGCTCGTGGGCTGTAGAGCACAGGCTCAGTCGTTGTGGCGCACGGGCTTAGTTGCTCCACGGCATGCGGGATCTTCCCAGACCAGGGCTCGAACCCGTGTCCTCTGCATTGGCAGGTAGATTCTTAACCACTGCGCCACCAGGGCAGTCCCTATTTTCTGTTTTCTGATAGTAGCCATTTAATAGGTGCAATGTGGTATCTCACTGTGGTTTTGATTTGCATTTCTCTGATGATTAGTATTGTTGAGCATCTTTTCATATGCTTATTGGCCGTTTGTATATCATCTTTGGAAAATGTCTAAGTCCTTTGCCAATTTTAAAATAGGATATGTGATTTGAAAATATTTTCTCCCATTCCATAAGTTGCCTTTTCATTCTGTTGATTATGTCCTTTGATGCACAAAAGTCTGTAAGTTTGATATAGTGCTATTTGTCTATTTTTGCTTTTGTAACTTATGCTTTTGGTGTCATATTCAAGAAATCATTGCCAAATACAATGTCATGAAGATTTTCCCCTATGTTTTCTTCTAGAGTTATATAGTTTGGGGTCCTACAGTTAGGTCTTTAATCCATTTTGAGTTGATTTTTGTATATGGTGTAAAATAAGAGCCCAACTTTACTCTTCTGCAGTTTTCCAACATCATTTGTTAAAGAGACTATCCTTTCCCCATTTTGTAGTCTTGGCACCCTTGTCAAAGATCATTTGACCATATATGTATAGGTTTATTTCTGGGCATGCTGTTCTGTTCTACTGGTCTGTCTTTATGCCAGAACCATACTGCTTTGGTTACTGTATCTTTGTAATGTGTTTTGAAGCCAAGACATGGGATACCTTTAGCTTTGTACTTCTTTCTCAAAATTGTTTGGCTCTTTGGGGTTCTTTGAGATTCCATATGAATTTTTCAATTTCTGAAAAAAATGCCTTTGGGATTTTGATAGAGATTACATTCAATCTGTAGATTGATTTGAATAGTATGGACATCTTAACAAAATTAAGTCTTCCAGTCCATGAACACAGGATGCCTTCCCCTTTGTGTCTTCTTTCATTTTTTCAGCAATGTTTTGTAGTTTTCAGTGTACAAGTCTTTCATCTCCTTGGTTAGGTTTATTCTCAACTATTTTATTTTTTTGGATGCTATTGTAAGTGGAATTATTTTCTTAATTTCCTTCTTAGATGGTTCATTGGTAGTGCATAGAAATGCAATTGATTTTTGTGTGTTGATTTTGTACCCTACAACTTTGCTGAATTTGTTTATTAGTTCTAACAGTCTTTTTGTGGAATCTTTAGGGGTCTCTTTATGTAAGATCATGTCATCTGTGAACAAAGATAATTTTACTTCATTCTTTCCAATATGGATTTTTTGAATATATTTTTTTACTTGCCTAACTACTCTGGATAGGACTTCCAGTACTAAGTTGCATAGAAGTGGTGAGAGTAGGCATCCTTGCCTTGTTTCTGATCTTAGAGGAAAAGCTTTCAGTCTTTCACCATTGAGTATGATTTTAGCTGTGGGTGTTCATATATGGCCTTTATTATGTTGAGGTAGTTTCCTTGTATTTCTGTTTTTTGAATATTTTTATCATGAAAGGTGTTGAATCTTGTCAAATGCTTTTCTTATCAGTTTAGATGATCATGGGATATTTATCCTTCATTCTGTTAATGTGGTGTATTGCACTGGTTGATTTTCATATGTTGAACCATCCTTGCATTCCAGGGATAAACCTCACTTGGTCATGGTGTATAATCCTTTTAATGTGCTATTGAATTCAATTTGCTAGTATTTTGTTGAGGATTTTTACATCACTATTCATAATGAATATTGGTCTGTAGTTTTCCTGAAATGTTGTTGTCTGGCTTTGGTATCAGGGTAATTCTGGCCTCAGAGAATGAACTTGGAAGTGTTCCCTCCTCTTCAATTTTTTGCAAGAGTTTCAGGAGGATTGGTATTAACTCTTCTTTAGCTGTTTGATAGAATTCTCTAGTGAAGTCATCTGGAACTGGACTTTTCCTCTTTGGGAGATTTTTCTTTTTATAACTGCTTCAATCTCCTTACTAATTATTGGTCTACTCAAATTTTCTATTTCTTCATGATTAAGTTTTGGTAAGCCATATTCTGTTTGACTAACAACTAATATATGCTCTTCTCTTTCTAACTAATGGTGGTTATTTAAACTGCAGTAAGAAACTGTATGTCTGACAATGGTCATTCCAGTTGGTTAGCAACTTTCCAGTTGCAACTCATACATATCTGCCTGTTTCAAAAGTGGCTGCTATTTCATTGAGCACCTACTGTGTGACAAACAACTGGCCTCTATTACCTCTCATGTCACAATATTCCTGGAAAGAAGATGCAGTTGTCTCCATCTGACAGATGAAGAAAAAGCAAATCAGAAAGCTTGATATTATAACATTTGTAGAATTAAGATGCAATTTACAGTCAATGGTGCCTTATGGTTTTATTGGCAGCACTTTTCCTTTCTGATGCTATATAAAATTTATGGTATTTTAGACATGCGCAAGTATTAGAAATTTGCTCATGATCACACAGCTAATGAGCAATGGCTTGTTGGCTTCCAAATATGCTGTTCTCTTAATTCTTTCTCCACCCCAGTGAAACAGATGGCCTTCCATCAGGAAAGCCATCATCTTGGTTCAAGGGCAGAGGTTTGAGATAAATATTCATAAGGCAATGAAGGCGTAACGGCCTAACCAGCCCAATCTCACCTTGTCATCAATGGAAGAGCAAATATAGAAATCAGAGTCATATCTAATTCGAGTATATTTTTATTACTTTTCTTAAAAGTTCAAACTATGCTCTTCATATAGTGCATTCAATTCATTTATAGGCATAATTTCTTTACCATTGCCAATTAATTACATCCCATCCTATTAATTGTAGAAGAAAGATATAAACACACATGAAGGAGTAGCAAATTTGGAAAGTAAAGAAGGAAGGGATCAAAAATATTATAAAAGGCTTTGTGAATACCTGCATAGGTCTACCTCATAACCAACAAAGGTATTAATATTTCAGTATCATTCATTATTGGTCTTTGCTGCTGCTTTTCACCTTCCACAAAGATAATAGATTCATCTGCATTTACAATATAGTCAGTGTTAGAATCACTTGCTGAATACTTGGGTTGGATACTTTTTAATACTTTACTTTCTGTGCAGTCTTTAACACCTCTTTGTGAAGATGACAGCCAAGCCCAGGAAATCATTAAGAAGCTGGAGAAAAGTGTAACATTCCTCAGTCAGTGCACAGCTCGAGTGGCCAGTAGGGCTGAGATGTTGGGAGCCATTAATCAGGTAATTTGTCTCCCTTTCTCCAGTTACAATGAAATTACTAAAAGTGGATTACATTTCTAGGAAAAAACTATATTTGATCATTTCAGAATGTTCTTGATATTTTCCTGTTTTAAACAATGCTACAATAAATATCCTTGTTTATGCATCTTTGCACACTTCTTCATAGAGAAGTAGATTTTCAAAATTTTCTTTGTGGGAAAATCTGGGGAGACTTTAAATTTTTGAATCTCTACGTAAACAAACGTGTTAAAATATATTTTCCTAAGAAGGAGACATTTCACTGTGATGATAGTTTTAGTCTGAACATTTGTTATACGCTTCTAATATTCTAGTTTCTTTTTAACCCCTCACCAGGTAGTAATATACTTTGTTTTATTTTTATTAAAGTTACATATGTGCATAGCTTTTTTAAAAAAAGTCAAGTAGTTCTCAAAGCCTTCTTATCCCATTTCCCATGTTCCAGAGCAACAACTTTCAACTCTTTTGGTTTGTTTTTTATTAATATTCATATCTCCAAATAATATGCTTATACTGTCACCAAGTGATTCAGTTTTAGATATTTATTGGTTTCCTACTACAAAGATGAATATTTATTTATCAATCGTTCCCCCTCACACCTTTTCACTGTCTTTCACCTTATTGTTGATCTCTCTTCTTTCCTAACCAAGCTTAAATTCCATGGTCAAACACAACATTAGCTCCCTTGCATGAACCCTCAACACTTTTCCTTCTCTTGTTTTCTTTTAATCATTAGGAAAATCTACAACCTTGTTTTAAATCCATTTCTCCACCTGATTATACCTGTATAGCTGGAAAACCTCACACCTCTGTGCTGACTGAGTTCTTTTGAAATTCATCACAAACCTCAAGTGGTCCTTGGGACTTCCCATCTTTCACACTTTCTCCTTTCTCCTCAAATCACCATCATGTCCTCCCCTCTCTCTCTGTCAAATAATGACTTTGCTTCTTAACTCAGTAAGAAAGTTGAGGCAATCAGAAGGGACCTTCCAAAAGCTCTGAACCTACAAGCACCTAAACCCTTGACATTGCCTTCCCTCCTGGTACGAAAGATGAGTTGTCTCTCATCCTGTCCATGGCTAACCATCCCACGTGTATATAAGATCTCACTCCTTCTAAATTACTCAGAATCTTGGGCCCCAATTCTCCCTGCATTCTTCCATCTCCAGTTTTTCCCCACGCTACTGAATCATTCCCATCAACACACAAATACGTTATTTTTAAGACAGGAAAAATAACACGAAACAAACACAAACAAAAAAATCTTTCACTCTTTCTCCTTTGGCTACCACCCTGTTTCTCTGTTCCCATTTTTAGCAAATCTCCTCAACAGAATTGTGCTGTTTCCAATTTCTCTCCTCCCAGTCTCTCTGAAACATATTCTAGTCAGCCTTAACCTACTCATTTTCCTTAACCTGTCTGCTACATTCAACACGGCTGAGCTCTTCCTCCTCCTGGAAACACTCTCCTCCTTGGTTTCCAGGTACCACAGTCCCCTGGTCCTTCTCTCTACATCATGGAGCAATCCCTTCCAGACTCCTTTACGGGTCCCACCCTTTCTCCCAGCCCGCTTAATCTTTTTTTTTTTTTCGCGGTACGCGGGCCTCTCACTGTTGTGGCCTCTCCCGTTGCGGAGCACAGGCTCCGGATGCGCAGGCTCAGCGGCCATGGCTCGTGGGCCTAGCCGCTCCGCGGCATGTGGGATCTTCCCAGACCGGGGCACGAACCCGTGTCCCCTGCATCGGCAGGCGGACTCTCAACCACTGCGCCACCAGGGAAGCCCAGCCCTCTTAATCTTGATGGGCCCTAGGGCTTCACCTGTGCACGTCTGATTTCCATCGTCACTCAATCCCCATACTATCCTATGTAGTCAACTAATGACTCCCTAATTCACACACTTATCCCAAACCTCTGCCATGAGTTTCAGACTAGAACCTGCTACTGTTGATGTAGCTTGGAAGTTTGATAAGCAATTTAAGCTTAATACATCCAAAAATAAACTTCTGACAGTCCCTCCAAAAACTGTTCCACACATAGTCTCCTTACCTCAGTAAAGGGCAACTCTGTCCTTCCAGTTGCTGGGGCTGGAAAACCTTGGGGGTAATCCTCAACACATTTCTCTCACACTCCACATCTAATCCTATGGACAATCCTATTTGCTTTACCATCAGAACATGTCTGGAATTCAACCACTCATTTCCCTCTCCACAGCTACCACCTTAATCTAAGCCACCATTCTATTTTTTTCCCAGATTACTACAATATCTTCCTACATGGTCTTCTTGTCTCCATCTAAATCCAATCCCCACCCCACCCCCATAGTCGCTTCTCAATAAAACAGCCAGAATAATCCTTTTAAAACTTAAGGCAGGTCATGCTACTCTTTTTTTTTTCATGTTACTTATTGGTTCACAGCCCTCCAGTGGCTCCTCATTTTTTTCAGAATAAAAGCCCAAGTCCTTATGATGGCTTAGAAAGATCTACGTGATTCCCCTGCCTTCTTACCCCTTGGACTTTATTTTCTGTGACTGTCTTCCTGGGTTATTGCACGCCAGCCACACGGGACTCGTTTCTGTTCATCATGCTGCCAACTCAGGCCCCCAGTCCTAGCTGTTCCCTATGCCTAGAATATTTTTTCTCCAGGTGTCCACATGTCTTAGCCCTCACCTTCTCCAAGTCTTTTTCAAATGTCACCTTCAGAGAATAGCCCAGCTGACCACCTGAGCTCCCTTGTAAAATTTCAACCCCTTCCACCCCAGAGCTTCTCATCCTCCCTTTCCCTGTCTTTTTTCATAATGCTGATCACGTTTTAGCATACTATTATGTTTTACTGACGTCTTATTTGTTGTCTATCTCCTCCCACTAGAATATAAGCTCCATGAAGGCAGGAATATGTGTCTGTATGGCTCACTGCTTGTCTCCTCAATGCCTAAAATGTGCATAGCAAGTACTCAAAAAGTTTTTGTTAAATGAGGGAGTATATGACACCAAAAGCAATGGCAAAAGAATAGTTAAATTGGACTTCCTCAAAATTAAAAACTTTTGTGTATCAAAGGACATTATCAAGAAAGTGAAAAGATAATCTACAGAACGGAAGAAAATATTTGAAGATCATATATCTGATAAGGGCCTAGTATCCAGAATATATAAAGAACGCTTGCAGCTTGACAGAAAGAGAAACAACCCAATTAAAAAAAATGCAAATAAGACTTGAATAGGCATTTCCCTAAAGAAGATATACAAATGGCCAATAAGCACATGAAAAGATGCTTAATTATTAGGGAAATGAAAATCAAAACCATAATGGTATACCTCTTCACACCCACTAGGATAGCTATAATAATAGAAAAAGAAAGGAAGGAAGAAGGAAAATAACCAGTGTTGACAAGGATGTGGGGAAATTGCAATATTATTATCATATTATTAATATATTATTTAACCATTAAAAGGAATGAAGTGTTGATACATGCTACAATGTAGATGAATCTGGAAAAATTTATGCAAACTATAGGTGCTAGACACAAAAGTCACATATTGTATAATTCTATTTATATATAGTATCTAGAATGGATAAATCTTTAGAGAAAGGTAGAAGGTTGGTATTGGCTAGGTTTTGGTGGGGAGGGGTGAGTGGGGAGTAATTGTTTAGTGGGTATGGGCGTTTACTTTGGGGTGATGAAAGGGTTTTGGAACTAGATAGAAGTGTTGGTTGCACAACATGGTGAATGTACTAAATGTCACTGAATTGTTCACTTTAAAATAGTAAATTTTATATTGTGAATTACACATCAATATAAAAAAAAGAAAAATACAATGACTGTATTTTGTCAGGTTCCAATTCAAACAAAACTGTAAATAGATGTTTTTGAGACAATTGGGAAAATATGAATATGGATTAGATGATAAGATGTTTCTGTTAATGTTGTTAGACGTGATCATGGCATTGTGGTTATTTAAGACAATACACTCCTTTTTTTTTTTTTTTTAGATACTTACTGAAATGTTTATGAGTAAAACCACATGATGTCCATCACCTGTACTTAAAAAGAAATAGCATTCAAAACTTGAGATGAAACTCATATAGCAAAATGTTAGTGGTTCTTGAAACTGGTTAATAGATATGTGTGGGCTTATTGTCTACTTTTTGTGTCTGTTGAAATTATCGTAATAAAAAGTTTTAATTAAAAAAAGTGGATGAATAATATTAGATCTATATTATCTGTAAACATTATTACACCCGTGTAAATTCTATTCATAGCAGAGACAGTAGTCCGTTATGATGTCTTTTCCTTCTTTGCACAATGTTCATGTTCTTCGTGGAGTTAATCATTTTCCTTTGCCATGATTGTTATGCTTACTTTTCTATTTACTTATCTCTAATTTATTCTCAGCCTCTCCCAGGGAGTCTAGATCTCACAATACGTTCAGACTCATCAGGTATTCTGTCAATTTCTTCATTGAGATGTTGCTTCCAGAGATTTTTGACCTGTCAGTCTCAACTGACTGTTCTTCAGGCTCAACACAAACGTCTTAGGAATTCTTAAATGAAGATTTCTTTCACTTCTTTCTTGAGTTGAATCCCATTTTCTGAATCCCATACCTCCTTCTTTGCTGGCTTGCTTTTTTATTTTGGTGGAACATCTCACGCGTTTTGCTGAGGGAAAGAATGCCGGGGAGGTAAACTTTTTAAAATGTTATATAACTGAAAATGGCTTTATTCTTTATGTCTTTACGGTAGCCGGGTGAAGGATTCTAGATTAGAAATCATTTCCTTCATGATTTTTCATCTTCTTCTTAGCTTCTGGAGTTGCTATCAAACTTTGATGCCATTCTGACCCCTGAACTTTTGTTTATAATCCCTTTTTACTTTCCAGAAGCTTTTAGGATATCCTCTTACCCCTACTGTCCTTCCTTGGCATGGGTTTATTTTCAACCACTGTTTTAGGTCCTAAGCTGGAAAGTTATTTCTTGAGTTCAGAGATTTTCTTGAACTGTTTCCTTTTCTACATTTGATGGAATTTTTCTACACTTTCTATACTTCTTGAATTCCTTTCTCCTGAACTGGTCCTTTCTTGTCTGTTTTCTACATTTTTGTCATTTTGCTCTAGTTTCAGAGAAATTTCCTTAACCTTATCTTGAAACTCTTAAGTTACATATTTTTTTAATCATATTTTTAATTTCCAGACCTTTAAAATTCTCAGAATGTTGCTTTTTAATATCTTGTTCTTATTTCATAGATGCAATACTTATTCTTACTTTTCTGAAGATATTGATAGTTTCATTGAAATTTTAGTTTTTTTCTTTCTGTTTTGATTTCCTTTTCTCAGGCTAGAGGCTTTCCTCTGACTAGTGATGATCCACTATACAGCTGACTGGGAGCTCTGTATATGTTGGGTGGGGAAGTTTCTTGTTGGCTCTGAGCTTCACACAAGCTAGGTTGTGTCACTGGGATACTCTTAACGTTGGTAGTTTTAAGACTGTCATCTTGCAATGTTAGATTCCTCAGAGAAAAGTCTTCCAACTGCCAGTCTTGAGAGTATAAGCTTGGCTACAAGTGTTTGATAGTTGGAAGAATAAGGCTCCATATCTCTAGATTCAATATATATATAGACTTTTGCTTAAATCTATTCTTTTCTGTATGATCCACTCACCATCAACTATTTGTTACTGCTCAATGCACAGACACTCTGGTTAACTCTCTCTAGATAGCCAGCTTTTGTAGTCTTTCACCAAAGTGGTAGAGGGGCTCAGGTGACCTGAGTAAGGGAGGGGATCTGTGGATCTAATCACTTTTTACACAGATTATCAACCATTTCTTCTGTTCTATCTCCAAGCTTAATTCCAAAGGCACCACTAATTCCTGAGCATTTGCAGCTTTCTGTGGTATAACCCACGTGGTTTCTAGGCTTTTCTTACTGCTTTTTTTAGGGTTCAGCTTTTCAGGTCTTAGTCATTTACCACCGGTCCTTCTACTTGGCAGGTGTTCAAAAATTTGTTATATCCTCTTCCATTCTATTTACCCTTGTCTATTCATGCCTTAAAAAAAAATCCCTTGTCATTTTTGTAGGATTTAAGGATGGAGTGAAGATAAGTGCATGTGTCTCATTCACTATCTTTTAACTGGGTATCAAGAATAGTATTTTCAATGTAAATTTGTTCTCTTTTTTTTTTTTTTTTTTTTTTTCGGTACGCGGACCTCTCACTGTCGTGGCCTCTCCCGTTGCAGAGCACAGGTTCCGGACACGCAGGCTCAGCGGCCATGGCTCATGGGCCCAGCCGCTCCGTGGCATGTGGGATCTTCCCGGACCGGGGCACGAACCCGTGTTCCCTGCATCGGCAGGCAGACTCTCAACCACTGCGCCAGCAGGGAAGCCCTACATTTGTTCTTTTTTTTTTTTCCTGCTAGGAAAGCCGGGTTAGTAAAGCCGTCGAAGTGATGATTCAGCATGTAGAAAATCTGAAGAGAATGTATGCCAAAGAACACGCTGAATTAGAAGAACTAAAACAGGTTCTTTTGCAAAATGAAAGGACTTTTAACCCTCTTGAAGATGAAGGTAATAAAAGTTTAAGATAATTGTATCAGTTATGTCTTTCTAACTTTCTTCTTTTTCATTCTCTCTTACTAATTCTTATTATATAATGTCTTTAGTATAAGACCCTTATGTTAAGATTATATTAGAAGGATATGATATATAGAATATAAGAAATAACTCATTCCTGTTATTTATATAGCCCAGAGTAAGATGTCAGTTAGAAAACAAATTAGGAGACAAGATGGATTTTATGGTGGACACCAAGATTTCATTAAAATGATGACATGAGAGAATATAACTAATCCAACTCATTGAGTTGACCCCAGTGTTGTCTACTTAGGATACGTTAGAACTGGCTTTTTCTCCACACATAAAGCAAGGCACAATAGCATAAATGAACCACTCTTATCAACAATGGTTTTGTATCCCTCGAGCAAGGAAGGACTGTGACAGGGTAAGCTGATCAACAGCTTGGAAAATAGGGAGACATCTGAGACCATGGAGAATATCTTAACAGAAGGCTTATATGAACCTTATAGTTTTATTTTAAGTTGACAGTATGAATGTTTATAGGCAGAATTTTCATTTTAATGATCTGTTCCCTCTTCTTGAAAAGTAATAACATGTGATGATCTTCTGATCTGTGATTTTTGACTCATTGATTCAGCAGACATTCATTTAGTGCCCCCTCTGTGCTAGGCGGGCATGGTGGACATTGGCAGTGACATAGAGGACTGTATTCCATTGGTTCAGATTACTAACGTTGTGAATCACCAAATAAATGATAACCAGATATTTATATTGCTCAGTAGTCTCTAGGGTCTTAAATAAATATTTTCTAACCATTGCTTTTCTTTGTAAAGAATTAAGACCATTGCGTTAAATTGCACATGTAATTCCAAAAATACACAAATGTGTTTTCCCTTTCAGGTGACTGCCAAATTAAAAAACGTTCAGCTTCTCTAAACTCTAAGGTAACAAATGTCTATCAAATGTTATAGCTGAGATGGTTTTAAAATATTACTTGAAGCAACATGGCTTTAAATCATAAAACAACAGTGATTTTAATTCATATATATGTGTTATGTATATATACATGTGTGTTTATATATGTACGCTTTTGTACTTCTTGCAATATTTGTACATCAATTAAGTTTGCCTGGCAGCGAGAGGAAAGCCAGTATAACGATACTTTCTCTCTCATGTGAAACCAAAGTTGGGAATAAGCAGTCCAACAGCTTCACAAAATCCCAGTCCCCGTCTCTCTTGCCGAGTCATCGACCTCTGCGCTTTGCTTCCATCTCATAGTCTAAGATAGCGTTGTCATTTCTGGGTACCAAGTCCTGGTCATTATGTTGAGTCCTGCTCCAAGAAAAAGGAAGAAGCGAGAACAGGTGTTCTCTCTACCTCTGAAGACACTTCCTAGAAGTCCCAGATAACATTTCCCTTTTCATTCTTTGTTGGAAATAAGATGAAAACAGCTTTTATTCTGGAGGCTGTATGCCTAACTAAAAATTAGTGGGGTTTGTTACTAAGTAGAAGGGGAAAACGGGATATTGAAAGTCAACCAGCAGTTTCTGTCAGTTTGAAAATCAAGATTTCACTGAATTTTTGAGCAAGGGACTTTAAAATCATTCCATCCAAATCTTTTTCACAGATGAGGAAATTAACTTTCACAGAAGTTAAGTGATTAGTTATGATCCTGTAGTGACACAATCATGATTAGAACCCAGGATTTTGGACCACAATTTGATATTTTTGATGTTCAACTAACCTATAAAAATAAATTAGAAATGGTGGCTTAAGAAAAGTATTCACATAAAACTTCTTCAGTTTATTTCCTGAAGTTCTACTTATTTAAATGTGAAGAGCCACAAAATATAACATTCTCCTGTACAAATCTCAAGGCTGAGGTATAAACACATCCATTCATTATAATGTCATACTCATCCTTAAATGTATTAAATGGAAAAAATGAAAAAAAATCCCTAAAATAGGTGCATATTTATCTCCTCTTGAGTTGGGGAAAACCTTTCCAAGCATAAAAGAAATGATAGCAAAAGAGGGGAAGAGATGAGGGACTTCCCTGGCGGTCCAGTGTTTAAGATTCCACACTTCCATTGCAGGCGGCACGGGTTCGATCCCTGGTCAGAGAACTAAGATCCTGCATGCCACATGATGTGGCCAAAAACAAAACAAAACCAAACCAAAGATAAAAAAAAAAAAAAAAAAAGAGAGAGAGAGAGAGAAAGAGATGAAAAGATTTGGCTATATTAACAATAAAAAAATTCTGCCAAGAAATATCATTAACAAAATTAATATAGGCAAAAATCATAAACAGGTGGTTCTCAGAGCAGATACATACAGGGTTATTTGGCATAGAAAAACAGTGTTCAGTGTTACTGGCAACCTAAACAGAAAGCCTTATGTTCCTTACTTGATTGGCAAAAATTATCCATTGTTGGAGAAGGTAGAATATAAACTGGCAGAATATTTCTGGAAGGCAATTTGGCCATAACAAAATCCTTGAAAATATGTCTCCTGTTTAACTCATCAGTGATCAAGTACATGGATGTGTACATTCAAGAATACCCATCAGTGTTTCATACAAGGATAAAACATTGAGAATTTTCTAAGTGTACATTTTCCCCCTTTGGGTAGCCGTCTTCTCTTCGAAGAGTGACCATTGCCTCTTTGCCCAGAAATACTGGAAATGCAGGAATGGTAAGCAAATCCCGAAGTGTTCTTAGTCAAAAGCAAATTTATTTCCATATGACAGAAATATAAATTTACTTCACTAAATTCATATTTTATTATTTCCTTAACATCTGAACTTTAAAGGTGGCTGGGATGGAAAATAATGACCGATTCAGTAGGAGGTCAAGCAGTTGGTAAGTGCAATTTTATGGTTGCTCTTTGGGAACCTTACTGTTTTATAGCTGGGCTAAAGTTAATGTTTGAAATAAGTGATATAGTAACATTTGATTTGTATGGAGTATATGCAGAATAATTATAAAAATTGGCATATATTCATGAAATTATTTCTTATGAAATAAGCATTATATGAATATGCCAAGGAAAAAATAAGAATGTATCATTTTTGTATTGATTTAGGTAGTGGGAAATAAATTGGTAATGGCTACAGAAGTACTTGATTTGACAAGTGGCTATAATCATCTTTATTTAGGCGTATTTTGGGGTCAAAGCAGAGTGAACACCGTCCCTCATTACATCGATTTATTAGCACCTATTCCTGGGCAGATGCTGAAGAAGAAAAATGTGAACTAAAGTAGGTGAAGCTTGATGTGTTTATTAACCTGATGTGCCGGGCATAAATAGTGGGGATCACTTTTATTCTGTGGAGATGAGGTCAATGCTGCATCATCAAAAAGATCATTCATTGTTTAAGACTTTTGTGAACTACAAAGTACTATATAAATGTTACTTGCTAATACATTCACTCTCATAGCACTCAGTACTTCAAGGTTTGAGGTCTTAAGTTAGAAAAGAACCTGGAATTTGCCAGATATGTGAAGAGAATTTTTTTCCTGTATAGGTTTCTTGTCATCAGGGGGAAAGGTCAATAAAGAGCCACAGAAGTAAAATTTTCATCTACTTAGATGAATTAGTTACAACATATAATGTAATATGTAATATATGCGCATTATATATACATGTCTTCCCTTCAAGTAAATGAAGACTAGGGGAAACATAAAACTCTACATTGCTATCTCTATATCTAGCAAGTTAAACAAATAAAATATACTCCTATAATGAAAGGTAGAGGGCAAGAGGGAGGGAGAAGAAGAAATGCTGCCCCTAAATCCTTGGGTGACATTGGACAAACTGCTTAACCTTATTTGGTCTCAGTTTCCTCGTCTGTAGAGATCTTAATGAAATGATTTTATGTTGATTTGATAACACGTTCATTGTGTGCCTGTTATGTGAGACACACTACGCTCAAGGTTAAGAGGTATAAAGATGAAAAAGACATAGTTCCTACCCTCAAAGCCTTTACTTTTTCCTTAAATAATCCTGGGAGTCTAATTGCATGTATTGAACTCTTTTTAGATTTAGAGTTAACATAATGGATATTTTCTAATCTGGGTTAAAAAAAAAATCGAGTTTCCTTGAAAAGATTATAATCTCTTTTTAAATTTTTGTCAGTATGGTATGATTTCTACCGCAAAGTTTTCGCAAACGAAGACTGAAACCTTGAAAATCCTACAAGAATTCTGGCTTTTGGGCTTTGTTGCCTTTAAAAACCAAACTAAAATCTATCACATGCATTCCCTATAGGTGTTTGACTGAAAAACAAAAACAAAAACTTTGAGACACAATTCCCTTTGGCAGTTGTGAGGGGATTGTAAGTTTGGGATTTCAAAATTCAAATCCAACTAGGGACTCATCAGTGAATATGAAACATGGAACATGAACATGAAACAAGTTTTGTTCAGGTAAAGGACCCCTCTTTAGATAATATGATTTTATCTAAATACAGTCAACCCATTTGCTACTTCCCAGCTCACTGACCACTAATAGTTTATTTTAGGTAGTTTTATACCAAACATATCTTCATAAACATGTTTAAAAGTATTAAGATTTTTTAGAGAAAGAAGAAATGACACTTTGACGTTATTCCACTTTAGCACTGCTCAAAAAACCTACGGAAAAAAGAGTAAAATCAATTGTTAATGAGAAAAATTTTATGATACGTTGAATGAAAAATACACGGAGAAATACAGCATCCACATTTGCTTTTTAAAGTGTAGTTACTAATACACACACAGACACACACACACGCACATGCTGAGAAGGAAAATCACAGTAACAACAGTGGTTAATTATGAGTGGTGAGAATCGACTAACTTACACATGTTCTTTGTAAATCTCCCCTTTTTATTTGTTCTTTGGCTAGCATCCCAATTTTCTACAACAAACATTTGCTATTTTTCTAAATACAGAAAGTTACTTTAAAAAATTAAATTCCTGGGCTTCCCTGGTGGCGCAGTGGTTGAGAGTCCGCCTGCCGATGCAGGGGACACGGGTTTGTGCCCCAGTCCGGGAAGATCCCACATGCCGCGGAGCGGCTGGGCCCATGAGCCATGGCCGCTGAGCCTGCGCATCCGGAGCCTGTGCTCTGCAACGGGAGAGGCCACAACAGTGAGAGGCCCGCGTAACGCAAAAAAAAAAAAAAAAAGAAAGAAAATTGAATTCCTATAAATGGTTAAAAATATAAAGTTGGCGATTACTATTTATCAAATCTTTCTAAAGCAAAACGAATATCTGCAAGCTTCCTTAGTAATACAGGAAAATTTAGCAGTATCTTATAAATGATAATAGCACATTATCCAGTTTAATATTTAAAAACGATATTTATTTACAGAACTAAAGATGACTCAGAACCACCTGAAGAAGAAACAGTAGAAAGGACAAGAAAGCCAAGTCTTTCTGAAAAGAAAAATAATCCATCAAAATGGGATGTCTTTTCAACGTAAGTTGTCTACTTGCTAAATGATACCATTTTGGTGGAATGGGGAAAGGTAAGGCAGGGTTAGCAGAATTAATCTTAATCAAATTACTTTACTAAAAGACCTTTCAAAATGTTAAATTTAAGATGAATAACAAACTCCATATGGTGTTTAACAATATTCCCTGAACCTATGAACTACAAGAGGCAGGTGAGTTCACAGTGTTAAGAACTTGGCCTTGGAAACAGATGGCCCAGGCTTGAATTAGCTCTCTGACTCTGTGTGACCTGGGCAAGTTCATCCATTTTTGAGCACTGATTTCTTCACCTATAAAATAGAGATGATAATAGTACCTATGTCTTTGCTGTCATGAGTAAATGAATTAGCACATGTAAAACGCATAGTTAACTATTTTCAAAGACTTATATGATGCTGTAATAAGCTTTTTTGGCGGGTGTTTCTAAAAGGAATTTTAGGGTTTCAGTACAGCAAAAGTCCAGGGTATGGTGAGAAATAAGTGACATGTTTATATGTACATATATCTTGCTCTACCCAATGAATAACATTATTTCTTCTACCCCAGGAATATAAATTGCCTTACCTGATTGAAAAAATGAACTTAATACTCAAATGTACTTGTTAGGAGTTAAGTAATGCCTAAATCACATAATTTTCAGATTCTTCCCTTAGCACATCATTTCTTTAATTCTAAAAATTATAAGGGGCGTGGGGAGCAGATTGTGGCCAAAGCCAAGAGGCTAGATCATACTATGTAGCTTATTATGAGGGGGTGTTGGTGGAATTATGCAGGGCAGACGCATGACTTGATTATTGTTGACAAAAGGAGTGTTTCTAATAACCACATGCTGTGATTACCACATGCTGATTTTGTGTTTTCCTTGTAGTTATAACACAATAGCTTCCTGGGCAACAAATCTCAAGACTTCCATCAGAGAGGCCAGCAAGGCGCTCTGGCTTTCTGTCGCGTTCATTGTACTATTTGCGGCATTGATGAGCTTCTTCACAGGCCGATTTTTCCAGAAGTCTGTGGATGCTGCTCCCACACAGGACGGGGACTCCTGGATGTCTCTAGAACATATCTTGTGGCCATTTACCAGACTCCAACACAATGGGCCACCGCCAGTGTGACTGCAGCACATCCTAATGTGCTAATGCTAATATTGATTTTTAAAGTTTCAGTATCTGAACTTTGTAAATTAGTAGCTTTTAGCTGGGAAATTATAGCATGGAACCAGAGGTTCTCAGAATGACTGTAAGATATTTTATATTCCCTCTCTTTGTGATTACCTTCCTAACTAAAATACAATGGGGAGGAAGCCTATGATTTTTTTTAATGAGCTTTTTGAGGAGGAGCTATTATTGTTTGTTAAAATTTATTGAAATAAATAAATTTTCATACAGTGAATGTTGGAAGTCTCAGTAGGTCACATATGCATAAGGAAAAAAACCCTAATTCTTAGAAAGTAAAATTTGAGTGTAAAATGCTGATTAGATCATTTTAACAGCCTATTTGGCATATATCCACTCGTTACACTTCATTGTAGAAATACCGGATTTTTCTCCAAGTTGCTTCATTCTTCATACTGAATAAAATTTATCAGCGGGGATTAAGAATAGCTGAGTAATCTAGTTGAGAGCAGCATGTGGCATACAGAGTCAACAAACTGGCAGCTGGAACACCTAACTTTCTTCATTGCTTCTTTAGAAGCAAAATCCTTAACCATGTGATATAAAGTAGAATGAAACTCAGTTTCTTCTTTAAGGGCTTCAGAGAATGCATCGCTGGATTCATTGATTTTGAGACTTTGTGCCCTGTCACCACTAAACATTAAAAGGGTCCAATTAGGATTTTGAATGGGTTCTTCTTTAGGAAGGTGTTCCCTCACCTAAAGAAAAAGAAAGAAAAATATGTTAATAGTTCCTCTTTTATTGGGTATTTTGACAGTAGAGTATTTTATTTGAAGGGCTCAGTTGAGTTCCCTGAATTGCTAAGATAAAAAGAAACAGTCTTAATGTCCCATTTTTTTTAAAGCATGAAACTGTTTATATCTTGGTGTTTATGGAACTTATCAAAATGTATTAATTCCTTAAAAATATTTATTGAATGGCTTCAAGTGTCAGGTACTGTTCTAGGTGCTGGGGATAAAACAACAACAAAGAAAAAAATAACTAAACGTATTAATAAGTAACTAACAACTGCAACAATAAAAACCTTGTCTTCAAGGAGCTTATATTGTAATAGGAGAAACACACAATAAACAAGATAAATAAATATGGTGGCTCATTTATGCTAAAATATTCATCAGTCATCGTGTAGAATTTGATAAGATACATTCTTTTATCAGGCAGTAGGAAATGTGCCAGAAAGTTAAATTGGAGGCCTAACCCTCTCAGAGGAGAAAGTCTGTGAATCATAGATATATTCACGTGAAAGGCTGACATTTGTTCTTCAGTTGATGTAAAGAGAGATAAGGTCTCTAAGCCTGAAATCAAGAGCATTTGATACCATGATGGACAATGAAAGTATAACCTTTACATGGTTTGGTTTTATTTATTTATTTATTTTGTACGGTACTTGGGCCTCTCACTGTTGTGGCCTCTCCCGTTGCGGAGCACAGGCTCTGGACGCGCAGGCTCAGCGGCCATGGCTCACGGGCCCAGCCGCTCCACGGCACGTGGGATCTTCCCGGACCAGGGCACGAACCCGCGTCCCCTGCATCGGCAGGCGGACTCTCAACCACCGCGCCACCAGGGAAGCCCTGGTTTTACATTTTTGACAAAATTAAAGAAAATGAAGTTGTAAAACTCCATTTTGAATGTTAATCTTTTTCACCTTTTTAAAAGGAGAAACCATGGTCTACATTCATTTAGCTTTTGAGTATCTTCTTTTGGAGCACAAAATAGTTTAATGGGGTTTTTGCATACTATACCTGAAATACAACTTTGTTAGAATCACATACTGTATTCCACTTGCTCCAACCAAACGCAAAAGCAGAACTTAACAGGGCCATTTGTCGATAAGCTTTCACTTCTACCAAAGGAAGCTGTCAATATACAAACAAATAGAGTTGATCGTAGAGCCTCTCTAGTCTCCCTTCCATCCTTGGCCTCCTACAGTCTGGTCTGGTCTCAACACAGATCCATTTAAATGTAAGTCAGCTGAAGTTAATCAGACAGAGAAGACAAATATCATATGATATCACTTATAAATGGAATCTAAAAAAATGGTACAAATGAACTTACTTACAAAACAGAAATAGAGTCACAGATGTAGAAAACAAAATTATGGTTAACAAGGGAGGAAAAGTGGGGGGGGGGGATAAATTGGGAGATTGGGATTGACATATACATACTACTATATATAAAATAGGTAACTAATAAGGACCTACTGTACAGCACAGGGAACTCTACTCAATACTCTGTAATGGCCTATATGGAAAAAGAATCTAAAAAAGAGTGAATATATGTATATATGTATTACTGACTCACTTTGCTGTAGAGCAGAAACTAACACAACATTGTAAATCAACTATAATTCAATAAAAATTTAAAAAAACTATTAAAAAATAAAAACTCAAATATTTAAAAAATAAAATGTAAGATTACATGACTTCTTTCTCAAAACGGGGCAATGGCTTCCCTTTTCAGAGTAGAATCCAAAGTCCTAACAATGCTCCACAAGGGCCTCTGTGGTCTGACATCCCCCATACACCCCATTATCTCTCTGACCTTATCCCCTGTTCTTCTCCCTTTGCTCTCTCGGCACCCCAGCCTCCTTGCTGTCCCTCCCATCCTCAAACACATCAGGCCACACCCTCTGGGCTCTTTCCCCAGGTCTTCTCTCCACCTGGAAGCTGATATCCTTCCAGAGATATCAACTTGGCTAAATTCCCCACCTTGAAGCGTTGCTCAAATCTTGTCTCCTTATTGAACCCCTCTCCCCCCTACACCCTATTTGGTATTGTAACTTTCCTTTTCCATACTACTTAGCACCTTTTGACATATAAGATAATTTTGTTTATTATGTTTGTTGTTTATTTTTGCCTCCCTCAACTAGAATGTAAGCTCCACAAGGGCAGGGACCTGTGTTTTATTCACTGTTTCCTAAGCATCTAAAACAATGTCTAGAATATAGGTATTCAGAAAAAAAAAAGTCTTGAGTATAATATTCTGAAAAGATGACTAGTACATGACATTCAGCATTTGTAGAGTAACTGGCAATTTGAGTTACTAAAACTAAGGTTGGTTTTTTTCCCCTACGCATATATGTATGCACTCTTATTGACAGGATTATTTTCAAATGTTGTGTCTACCTATATTGCCATTTTCTGGTATATTATAAACTTGTTCTTGAGTATAGAACTCTTCTGCCCAAAACACCTTTCATGATTAGAAGCCACTCTGTCTTCATTCATGCATCATAAATATTTGCTAAACATCTATTGTATTCTAGGAATAGGCTTGATGCTAGAAGAGTCAAAGCTGATTAAGAAACAGCCACCCCCCTCAAGGAGCTCGCAGTTTAACATGGAAGGATCTCATTTAACTAAACTTATGCGTCATATGAAGCTGTACGCAGACAGGGAGGCTATGTCGAGAAATAGAGGGAAGTGGGTTTGGTGGTCCTTGTATGTCTAATTTTGCCTGACTTATCATATTTGGGAAACTGCTGAGTCATTTACTCTTTTAAGAAATCTTACATGTATCCAGTCTGGAAGGAGAAAGAAAGCATAGGAAATGGGAAGTTGCTCAGACTCTACCTTTGCACTAAACTGACCAGCTGTGGTTACGCTCCATGTGTCATTATGAAGATCATACAATAGATTATTAAATTTGAGAGAACCCTGGATTTCTGGTCATGCTATTTATTCCTTCCTTTCTAACTATAATCTTATATAAGTGAATATAGAAAACCATTGGTGTACCTTAAGATTTATATAAAATTTAACACTTGCTAACATTCTAAATGTCCAGCACATTAAATTTGGAAAGATTCATTCTTACCTTATAGTTTATAACAACATAAAAGTGAGAGTGTCCAGTAGGGAAGATATTCAGTCCAGCTTCTTTCAAAGCAATAATGAAAGAAACAGGAGTCATCCACTTTTCTTCCAAAATAGAGGAATGCTTTTTGTTATTTAGTTTGATTGACGCTAACATGCAGAGGTTTTCCTAGTTTCAATAAGAAAAAAGACGCGTTTATACAAGTTAAAGAAACTATTACCTCATTATCATTCTAGGTCCAGCTGTTAGGTTCTTTACACTATTAAAACAAAATCCTATATTAAAAAGAATGCAGGACAGATATGTTTTAGGCCTGATCCAAAAGTTCCACCGCAAAGTCTCCACGTTACCTTAAGCAGTTTATCAACTCTTCTTGGGCTCATCTGAGCAATCCAGGGACTGAACTGAAGGATCTCTCAGGTCTCCTACTTTATAAATTATGATCTAAGAATACTACATGTGTTCATATTGATATATAATAGCTATTTGACAGCAATCATGTTGCAACTTTTAAGGATCATAATATTTTTATACATATATAATAAAATTTTAACATAATAATGCAAAATTATTATCCAGTTTTAAAGTTTGCAAAGTGGTGGTACTTCCCTGGTGGTCCAGTGGTTAAGACTTCATGCTCCCAATGCAGGGGTCCTGGGTTCAATCCCTGGTCAGGGAACTAAGATCCCACATGCTGCAACTACTGAGGCCTCATGCTCTAGAGCCCACGTGCTGCAACTAGAGAGCCTGTGTGCCACAACTACTGAGACTGCCTCAATGAAGACCCAGCACGGCCACAGTAAATAAATTTATTTAAAAAAATGTCTGCAAAGTGGCAATTTGAAGGTGTACAGAGTTCACATCTCTCATCTGACTTTAAAAGCCAAATTTGATGATATTCTAGCCTTCCTGCCACAGTCATAAGGAATTTCAGGTTATCTCTTTTTTTCTCTCTCTCTCTTTTTTAAAACAACTTTCATGAGGTATATCTTACATGTCATAAAATTCACCCAGGTGCACAGCCCAGTGGTTCTTTGGGTAATGAGTGGTGCAACTGCCACCATAAATCAGTTTTACAGCATCTTCATCCCTCTGATAAAACCCCTTATGTCCATTTACAGTTAATCCTCATTCCCACCCTCAGCCTCAGGCAACCACTAAATCTACTTTTTGTGTCTCTAAATTTCAGGCTGTGTAATTTCTGCGTGATGAGCAATGGAGGCACTCAAAAGGGATTTCAAATGGCTAGGTGATAAGATCAGGAAGCCTCTTTAGAGTGGATCAAAAACTCTGAAAGTCATACTGCAACCAGGCTTATGTCTTCACCAATTGTTCTATTCCTAGTAACTTTAGGGTACAAATTTGCACTTTACTTATTACATGCTATTTCCTATCTATTTAATTTATATTTCATTTAGAAAATTACAGTTCAAGGTATATTGTAAATAGATTTATAAAAGACACATTTCAATATGTAAATCAGCAGTGATTGATCGCTTTGACACACTTACAGTCATCAAACAGATTTAGCTCTTTGACATGACTTGCTATAACAGCAGTTTACCTTAATTTGTATTTGAATGTCAGTAAATACTGTAGTCACAGTCAGAAGTACTTCATTCACATCAAGTGGTCTTAGCTCCCATGACTGGTATGGCATATTAACATGAGCATCTTGAATCAAGGTAACAGGGCCAAAAGTGTCCAGGCTGAATGTTATAAGTCTGTCTTCCGATTTGTAAGATACATTGCTGATGCCATCAGTTTTCCAGTGTTTACCTTTATAATTCGGAAGAATGTGACATTAGTTCCATTTTTTCCTCTGCAAAAATAAGAATGAAACCACTCCCATAACTGCAATATGTATAAATCGATTTTTCACATTTAGAATAGAATCTCCACAAAAAGCCAGCTTTGCTGGGAGTTTCTTCCTGTCTACAGGATCAAGTCCAAACTCCTCAGCACAGTTGTGAGACCTTTAGAATGAAGCTCTGATTCTGATTTCCGGCTTCCTCCTTTGCCACTTCTAAGACCTCTTTCCAGCCACACTTTTTCTTCTTCTGCAACAACATCATATACCTCTGAGCCTCTGCACATGCCGTTCTTTCTTCCTAGAGGACTCTTCCTTTATCTCTTAGAGAAACTCTCTTCATCTTTCTTTTTAAACAACTTTAAAATTCACCTGTCTTGAGTATGCGAGTATTTTTAGTAAATTTATCGAGCTGTACGACCATCATCACCATCCAGTTTTATTCAGTTTTAGAACATTATTATCCTCCAAATAAGATCTCTTATGTCTGTTTATAGTTAATTCCCATCCCCATCACCAGCCCCAAGCAACTATTAATATACTTCCTGTCTCTAAAGATTTGCCTTTTCTGGACTTTTCATTAAATACAATCATATAATAGGTGGTATTCTATCTCTTACAACTCAATAATAAAACACAACCCAACTTAAAAATGGGCAAAAGATTTGCATAAACATTTCATCAAAGGAGATATACAAAAGTATAGTAAATACATTAAAAAAGATGCTCAACATTACCAGTCATTAGGGAAATACAAATTAAAGCCACGAACTACCATTTCACACCCACTAGAGTGGCTATAATCAAAAAAACAGATAATAACAAATGTTGGCAAGGATGTGGAGAACTGGGAAACCTTGTATCTTACTGGTACAGCTACTTTGAAAAACAATTTGGCAAGTTTCTTAAATAGTTAAGCATCAATTTACCATTCAACCCAGCAATTCCACTCCTAGGGATATACCCAAGAGGAATGAAGACATATGTCCACATGAGACTTACATGTGAAAGTTCTCTTAGTCTCTTAAGGACCTGTTCAATATTCCACCCTAGGAGAAGCCTTCCGTAACTCTCCAGATGGGACCCAGCCATTGTTCTGCTCCTTAGCACTTCTATTATATAGCACCTTACTACATTGTACTATGATTATTTTCCCTCTCTGCCTCTCCTACAACTTTGAAAACTCCTGGAAGAAGGAACTATGTCTCATTTATCTCCATCTTTCTTATTGTTTAGCATATTTATGGAACAAATGAATGAATCATTATCTTTCTAGAACACCCTCTTCATTCCCACTTGGCTTTCTCCTCTTCTCACATGGAGGGTTTCACTGACTATTTTTGAGTCTTAAATTCAATATAATAAATACGATTATATTGGAAAACTAAGTTCTTTATAATTCCTCTTTTAGTTTTTACATTAACTAAATTATTTTAATTTGTAGACGTAAAAATTAAGTATTGCCTATAAATAAATTCTTCAACTTTCTAGTATTCCCTGGCAAAAAAAGTTTCCCCATGGTTTAAAAATTACTGGAGTTGTAGATTACTGTCGTATAATTACTGTACTTAGAGTCAATTTTTACATATTGTATTTCCCTGAATCATGTGGGATAATTTACCTTGTCTAATACTAATTGAGTATGAATAAATTTTAATGTGATAAATATTTAGGAACATTACCATTAAAGGAAAGGAAAAGTGAAACCTCTAAAAGCAACATAAAAGGAAAAAATTACCTAATGTTCATTTTGATATACTTTATGGTTTAATGTATTGATAAAAATATACTGTTTTTAATATATAAATTATTTCTAGAATAAATAATGTCTTGTGGCTATGTCTATACAAGCAAAAATATGGAGTGTTGTAGCAACCATGAAAAAGTTTAAAGTACAAAATATTCTCTAAATTCTCTGCCCCCATTAACTAAATAAAGTAATAGCTCTGTGCTTTAGTGATCCTATCTGTTCTAAACCTATCATCTAGTATGTAAACCCTTTCACAAATAAACAGATGGATGTAGAATAATTCACCTACACTAAAAACAAAGCTATCCGGCTTTCATCTAAGAGCCCCAAAATGTGCATACATTAATTCACAAGACCGAGACCGTTCAAAGTTTAGCCTGCCAACCCTAAATAAGGTATCTGCTAATGACTGGTGAATTATTAGCTTGTATTTTTGTTAGTACTTCTGATTTTATTGATATTTATTTAACATTTTGAATAAGCAATAATTTCCCATGATTCATCAGAAGTTATAAAGAGGCATACAGTGGCTAGTTTTCCTCTTTCTCAGGTTTCCCATTTGCCCACTCCACATCCTCAGTACCTGGCTGTAATAAGCTTTGCAACTTATAAATCATTAGCATTAAAATAATCAAATTTTAATCACCCCAGTGTGAATTATTTGGCCATTTCAAGAGAGAGTAGGCTTTTCATTTGTTTGTTTTTGATTTGTTATGCTATCTTGATATTTCTGTTCATTTCCTTCTTTTTTAAAACGTAATTGTATAAACATAAAGACATTTCTCAGAGAATATGGCAGATATAAACACTTCAGCAACTAATAGTTATAAAAAACTCCAATCCCCATTCTTTTCCATCAAGAGCAAACAAAACAAAGACCCTAGAATTGGCAGAGAAATATGTAAGATTAGAAACTCAGTTTACACGCTGCATTTCCTAATTTGATATAAGAATTTATATTATTGTATCTCTTTTCATTACATAATTATCAAAGCTGGTTAAGACACTGCCGTACCTTCAGCATCCCACCTTGCAACCATAGGATTCTCAAAAAAGATTACGTTCTCATGAACCTCAAGCATGACCTCTATGGGTGGGAAAGTGTTTTCTGTTTCAAAGTCTTCTGCAGTTTCTGGAGGATATGTATATTTCTGTAATCCTTCTTTGAGTATCTTTTAAAAATGACCAAAATAATACCAAGTTAGAAGCTGACTGGTAGCAGTTAAAGATGTAAATATTGCTGAATAAGCTATACAGTTATTTTAAATAAGCACTGCAGTTTGGTCACATTTAACTATAGATTGACTAACAAAATGTCACAATAAAATTAAAGATAATGATTTGAGGAAAAAAAAATCACGACATTTGAATGTAATTCAGAACCCTCCTATGGGCCAGGTTCTATGCTGGCTGGGACTTAACTATTCATTTTATCCCTCCAAGTAACTGTACAAGGCATATATTTAACAGAGAGGATAACTGGCACTTACAGAAATCAATTAATGTGCCAAAGATTACAAAATGACTTCAAGCAGGTGCCCGAAGTCAAAAATAGATCTACAGGGCTTCCCTGGTGGCGCAGTGGTTGAGACTCCACCTGCCGATGCAGGGGACACGGGTTCGTGCCCCGGTCCGGGAAGATCCCACATGCCGCGGAGCGGCTGGGCCCGTGAGCCATGGCCGCCGAGCCTGCGCGTCCGGAGCCTGTGCTCCGCAATGGGAGAGGCCACAACAGTGAGAGGCCCGCGTACCGCAAAAAAAAAAAAAGAAAAAAAATCTACAGGACTCCAAATCCCATGTTCCAACACCTTGGTTAGGGTGTGTGTGGGAAGACAGAAATAAGTATAAGCAACCTTTTGAGAAGTGTAGAAATGAATGAAATTAATTAAAAATCATCATATTGCATACCTTAAACTTACACAATGTTATATTTCAATTATTTCTCAAAAAAAGCTCTGGGGGAAGGGTGGGGAGAAAGTAAATTAAGCCAAGGGCAGATGTCTGTGGGATAAAGGAGATTTGTCCATTATCAGAATTTAGCAGAGAAGGATCTAGGAAAGGGGGGAAAGATTAAAAATGTTACAAAATAGTGCTTCCCTGGTGGCGCACTGGTTGGGAGTCCTCCTGCCGATGCAGGGGACACGGGTTCGTGCCCCGGTCTGGGAAGATCCCACATGCTGCGGAGTGGCTAGGCCCGTGAGCCATGGCCGCTGAGCCTGCAAGTCCGGAGCCTGTGCTCCGCAACGGGAGAGGCCACAACAGTGAGAGGCCCGTGTACCGCAGAAGAAAAAAAAAAAAAAAGTTACAAAATAGAGGAAAAAATTGGATGGGGAAAATTTCTAGGGTACGTGTGAGATTATTAAAAAGGGACTTGGAAAAAAGGAGGAAGGCGTCTTTGTTGCAGGAGAGAAAAACAGGTGTGAAGGAGGATACTTTGGGCTCAAACTGGGAGCCTGGAGTGGTGGTATCAGGATATCCTGCCAAAATTCAAGAACAACAATTCTTTGGATGAATCCTTGAAATTCCCAGTTCAGGGTGGGACCTTCCTATGGATAAAGAGTTTTGAAGGCCCACCTCCACCAAAGGGTGTCTTTCTTGGCCTCCTCCCTGTCCTTCAATTATCCCTGAGGTAGGGAAAGTTGATTCAAGTAGATTCTTCAAAGTGGCTACAGACCAGATTATCTCCCCACATTCACCCTAATAACTGCATTCTCATTTGTGGGGAGAAGGGGAAAGGAACAGCAATATCATCCCTAAGAGGGTAAAAATTAGCTTAGGGGGATCATGAAACAATTGTACTCTTTTAGGTATAAAATACAGATACACATATAGCATATAAGCAGATACACAGTATATCTGTGGTATTAATATTTTGGGCTGGGGGGCAGTTGGGAAAAAAATGTCTACAAAGACTCCTTAGAGGGGTGATAATGGAAAAAAAATAAAAATTGAGAAATACGTCTCTAATTCAAGAATGCATGAAGATCCTTAATGGATAGGATTGTGGGCGAGAAGTGCCTGACAATCTATGTACATGATGTGTTAGAGCAGAGAGATGGGGATGGGAGGGGGTTGGGAGGGAGCAGGGAGAAAGAAAAGAAGGGCAGGAGAGAAAGAAAGGAAAGAGGAAGGGGCCATGACAACATAACTGGGTGTATCTGGGATGTAGGCCACCAAAAGTTAAACCAAGCCAATGCTAGTGCAAGTGTTACTGCTTATTGAAACAGAAGTGAGAAACTCCTTGAAAAATGAACAACTGCTACCATCAGTATCCTTACTACTCCTGTGGGCTATCTGTACATCAGCAGCATTGGCATTGCCTGGATCAGTGCTTCTCAAACTTTAATGTGCAAATGAATCACCTTAGGGTCCTGTTAAAATGCAGATGAAGTAGATCTGAGGTGAAACACCAAATTATGCATTTCTAACAAGTTCCCAGGTGATGCTGATGCTTCAGGTTCATAGACCACACTTTGTATATCAAAGATCCAGACCAGTGGTTCTCAAAGTTTGGGATGTGTTTTGCTAAAACACAGACTGCTGAGTCTCACCTCCAGAGTTTTTGATTCAGTAGGACTGAGGTGGGGCCCATGAATTTGCATTTCTAGCAAATTCCCAGATGATGCCAAATGATTCTGCTGCTTCTGGTCAAGGGACCACATGCTGGGAACCACTGATTTAGACCAGAGTCCACCAACTGTGGTCCCCGAGAAATCCAGCCCACCACCAGTTTTTGTAAATAAAGTTTAACTGGGACACAGCGATGCCCGTTCATTTACATATGACTGTTTTAATGTTACAGTGGCAGAGTTGAGGAGTTGCGACAGAGCTGGTATGGCCCACAAAGCTGAAAATATTTACCATCTGGTCCTTTACAGAAAAAGCTTGCCAGCCTCTGAAATAGACTGTCATTATTAAGGCCAAATTGGCACAATATAATCATAGTGCTATAGGTTTACAATTAAGTTAACATGTATGAATTCTAGTTTTAAAATCCATATTATTTCAGATTCCTTTCCTTTAGTATCTGATTCAAATTTATACATTCAAGACAGTTTAAAATTACATTGCTTCCTTTGTGCTTGCTTAATAGGGTTAAATTCATTAGATGTTTAGATTGTTTGAGATGAAGTAAAAGCATGAGAAATTATTTTATTCATAAATTTTGATTCAAGAATTAACCTACTTCCACAATCATCCAGCCCTTCCTCGGTTTACACTGCGGAGGAAGCTCCAAAATATCCAAGTGGTGCACTCCACCCAGAGCTGTGAATTGGCATAAATCAACCTCATTTTCTTCAGAGAAATATGGCTTCTCAGAGGCGTTCTCTAACAGCAACAACTGCGCTGAAATTCATCAGATTAGTTCAGTTTCTAAATAGATCATAACATTTCTGTATTTTCTTAGTGGGAAAATGAAAATGTTCTAATACTAGTAAATGAAGTTTTTGTTTAGCTGCTAAACATTTTCAAAATGTGGTTGATTCAAAACTATTCACAAAGCTAAGCTTGAAAGTGGGAATAGGCATGCATAATGTTAGGGTGCAGGGGAGGGCCCCATTTATATTTTATATACTAACGTTTTAGGAATTTGTATACAATAAGGATGTGTTACTATTAACATAAAAACTTTAAAAATATGGTTTATTGTATGGGAGGAAAAATAATTTTCCCGCTACCCTTCTGAGTTCTTGGCCGAGACTCCTGTAATAAAAGACAGATTAACAAGAGAAAAATGAACAGGAGTTTATTAGCATGTACACCTCATGTATACATGGGAGATACCCTGAGAAAAATTAGTAACTCAAAGAGGTGGTTTAGAACTCTGGCTTATATAGCATCTTTTACAAAGAATAATAAATTTGTGGAGAAATAACAGAACAAAGGATAGCAGTTTTAGGCTTCCAAGGGCAGAGATAAAGCCTGTTATGTAAATTCCTCTGGCACCCTCTCCAGGCTGATAGGGTCTAAACTTGTCTCTGGGAATTAACCTTTAACCTTTGTCCCTCCTGGTAGAGAGGGGAGGAAAAACACTTTTGAAAGTTTATGCCCTGCTTTTAGGCAAATAGGAGGAGGGTAAGGACCTTTTCTTGCCTCTTTTTAATTGTTTTCAGCTCAAAATAATTCTTATGCCAAAGTGACAGATTTTGGGGTGGCATATCCTGCTAACCTTCATTATAAAAGATCAAAAGTGGTTTAACACAAAATTTAATAACTGACAAATTAATTTTTTTTAATTGGACATTATGGAGCTAAAAATCTGAAAGAAGTAAAATGTTAAAAAAATAAATTTTGGCCCATATATGAAATGAAAGCTAATTTTTTTTTTTCAACAAAAATGGGCCCAGCTTATAGAAAAACAGGGATGGAGGTTTGAAAGTGAAGAAACTGGACTGGATAATCTTTGTGTTCAGACATTTTACAGGGAAATTCTATGATCCCATAAATCTCAGTGCACAATCAGGGGACATCTGATGTCACATACCATCATTCCCACCTTTCACCAAAATTCTTTTAATAGAGTGTAATAGATAAGAAGAGGAAATCAGACCCTTACAGGTTCCACCCTTGACTAGCTGTGTGACCTTATACAAGATATGCTAATTAACATCTCTAGTCTCAGTTCCTTCCTCAACAAATGCATATAATAGTAGTATCTATCTTCTACAATTTGGGGGAGCTGTGATTTAATACAAGAAAGGAGTTTAGAACTGGTGCCAAGCCCATAGTAAAAATTCAGGAACTGTTAGTCTTATTATTTATCATTACAATTTTCCTCTCCCATTAAAGGAAGCACACTGAGATGGCACTGAATTTAACCCACAGAGGTTAGGCACTGAAAATAAGTGGAAATATCCAGAGAAAATTCCAGTTAAGCAATTGCCCCCTTTTCCTTGTATACATTCAATAAAAGTATACCTTAAGTAATTTTCAAATGTATCTAGTTAATAGTCCATTTACCTGAAAAGAAAGTCAGAAAGAATACTGTGTCCCAATTTAGACTATTTATGATATATATTATTTGGGGATCACTTGGTATTACTGACACAGTTTCATGAATTGAATATATTATCATATTTCTAACAGGAAAATTATCTCATAAGGATTATAGAAAAATTATAAAGATATAAACCTAGTTGACTGCTGACACAAAAGTGTATTGGAAAAAGTGAAGTAGACAAGAAGCCTGTTATAAAAAATATGCTAAGAAATATATAAAAAGTATATTCCTTAGAAGTTACTGGGAAAGAAGCATAATGATAAAGTTAGTGGAAAACATGTATATAAATCTCAAACTAAAAGATTTTCAAATTAGACATCACTATCATTTTGACATATTAAAACTATATCCAGTTTCTACTTGCCAGGATAAGACTGAATACAGAAGTGTTGAAAAATTTCTGATCATGTACGTGTGCTTGAGAATGTTCAATGCAACACTGCTTGCAATAATAAAAAAAATTAGAAATAACCTTATTGTCTACTAATAAGGATTTAAATAATGTCCCATTATTGGATGACATTATACAGATACTTTAAAAAGTAAGGTTACCAATGTGCTCTGACTTAGAATCTTGTTGAATATTATTCATTTAAGCAAAATATATATTGTGTTCTATATATGTATGTACAATGACAAATATTATTAGGTGAAAAAAAGTAATTTTCAACAAAAACATCTGTATGATATGATCCCATGGTTTTATTTAAAACCAAAAGAGAGAGAAACAGAGACAGAGAGAGAGATTGTACAAATTTTAAAAAGTTGTTAACATTGGTTATATCAGAAGAGGGATGAGGAAGAATTTTCACTTTATACTTCTGCAACATCCGAGTTTTTTTTTTTTTACAATGTCCCTGCATTTCTTTTGTAAGCAGAAAAATCCCAATAAAATTAAATTCTAAAAATGTAATTTAGAGGAATACCTGCTGAAACTGTTTCACTTAATAATTTCATCTCCAGTTCATATTTTGTGGCTTCAGGTTCTTCCTGGACAGAACTCTACAGGGAACACAAGGACAGATGGGTGTGATCGTCAGTGTCTGCTGCAGCCCAGATTCACTCTCTTCCTGTTCCAGTTCTCACTAGATTTCTGCTACCTTAATTCCAGGGCCTCAGATGGACACCTGCTCTGGCCTAAAACTGGATTCAAAAACAATATTTAAATAATTAATTTAAATGAGAGCCCATCTCCACAGAACCTCACAAGGGCAGGAGCTAGCCTGCTCAGATTCTTTGCTGAAAACCCCTCAGTGCAAAATAGAGAGACTAGGAAGCAATGCAAGCTATAAAAATATTTGTATTTGCATTTTGGTTTTAGCCAAGTTTTAGATTTTGCTTGATTTTGGCAATAAACTCTCTGATAGACTAATTCCAAAGCCTGCTTTTGGGTAAGCCTCTGAGGGGAATTAAAGATGCTATGTACCAAGTAATGTAGAAGATATCATTACATCCTGGTGTAGTAAAAAGAATACTACAAAAAGAGGACATAGGAATTTATATTTAAACCTGCCACTAACTTACCTTTGTGACCTTGAGCAAGCCATTTAACCATTATGGGCCTCAAATGCCTGATCTAACAACCCATTTGGTATGTAACTGTGTGCCAGACATATGATACCTCTTGTAAACAATCCTAAGAGATAGCTATTATTTTCATTTTACAAAAAAGGGAACTGAAGCTTAGGGAGATGACTGGTCTAAGGGTCAAATAAAATAATAAAAGTATTTTGTACGCTGTAAAGTACTAGATAAATGCAGTATTATGAAAATTTGGTATGTGTGTGCTAATATTTGCAAACTGGATCACATCCAGCAAACTTCATTTGATCTCAAATACCACCTGTACTTTTCTACAGCAATAAAAGAACCTTATACCGGAATTCTAGTCAGAAGCTTAATGCCAGTTCATCCCACCATGCCTCTCACCCTCATCCACCATACAAAGCCAAGTCCCCCTTAGTAAACTATCTTTTCCCTACTGTCATCACGATATTGCCCTGTATCTTCCTCTTGACCAGTTTTAACACTAGCATTCTCTGCCAACTCTTTCCATCAGGCCTCTGACACTTCTCACTTATTAACTCATTCATTCAAAGAATTTTTATTGAGTGCCTAAATTGTACAGGCATCCATAGATGCTAGAAGCAAAAGGAAAGAAAAGACAAGGTCCCTGACTTAAGGAGCTGCCAGTCTATTAGGAAAGCAGGTAAACAAATAGGCATAATACCATTTGTGGGTGCTGTAGTGTAGTAAGGGGTCCACAATAGAATAGAAAGGAAGAACAGTTAATTCTGTGGGAAGAATAGTCTGTGGGTGGTGAAAAAAGGAAACGCTACCCAAAGGTGGTAAACTTTGAACTAAATCTTGAAAGATAATTAGGTCTTCCCCAAAATGGTGGGAGGGAATTTTAAGTATGAGTGAAGGCAGAAAGGTATGAAGCAAAACAGGGTTACAAGCACCCCTGAGTAGTCAGGCATGGTTGGAATGAGACAGGCTAGGAGGGTGTAAAGATTTGAAGCTGGAGAGAGGCAGGCCAGCCTGTGGAGAGCTTTGGATGCCACTCTAAAGACCAGAATTTCCTCTGTGGGTAAAAGAGAGCCCCCAAAAGATTTTTACTAGGAAAGTAACATGAAGAAATTTGCATTTGGAAAGAGTATTCTGGTGCCCACCTGATGAATGTATTGCTTTGTAAAGAGTAAGAAGTCCAAGGTAAGAGGATCAGGGCCTAACTCAAGATAGAAGCAATCAGGACCATTAGAAGGAGCATATGTGAGAGATGATAAGGAAGTAAATCAACATAACTTGGATGGCAACTGGATATAGAAGTAAGGCAACGGACAGGCAAAGACTGATTTACAGATGCTTGGCTTAGGTAATAAGATGGATGGTGGTAACAATTACCAAGAAAAGAAAAGGAAGAATAGGTTTGGGGAAAAAAAGTAGTGAACTTGATTGTGGATATGTTCGATTTGAGGTGCCCATGGAACATCTAGGCAGCCTTTGATATTATCTACCATTAAAAAGCCAGTTGCATTTCTTTCTTACAGGAAGGATTTTCTCCAGCAATAATATCAAAGATATCAAACCAACAAGTGAGTCAGCCTTTCCAATTCACATCTTCAAAGAGTTGAGAGCTCTTCAGTATGTAGATCAAACTGGTTTTCTACCTTGCAGGGAGTCCAAGAATTTAGACTTTCTCAACAGAACGTTCCCCTTAATAACCACAGTACTTCAGTATGCAACAACAGGAATTTATCAGTGTCCGTATTATCACATAAGAGAATAATCTTGTATTTAAGTCAACACACTGCCTTTATATAATTCATAATTTTTATAATTCTATGTTACTCTTTAGTTCAATTGACTCTTTTTGAAGTTAGACTTCTGGAGGAAGGAAGCAATGGGTCAATTTACATTCTGATGCAAGTTCCTTAATCTTAATAACTATTCTAGAATGTTTTCCTGTCATTGCAGCTAGAACATACTCCTGCACAATAATTAAACTCCAAACCACATTTATTGATACTATAAGCCTTCATAGTTTTATACATTCTAAAACTCCTTGTGTTTGTTGGCAATGAAACTGAAAAAAAAAACTTCTTTCTTCATATTGATATCATGTTTATATCTGCTAATGAAAAGTCCTCTTTCATCATAATTGTTTTAGAAATTTTTCCATGTATTTTTTTTCTTCTAGCTAAACTTTAATAGTGTTTTGTCAAGTCTCAACAGTTACCAACTGGAATTTTTATTTGAATTGCACTAAATTTATAGATTTTTAATAAATCTATCTAAAAAATAACATTTCTTAAAACTGTTTGCCTGGAAATGTTGACAGAGTATGAAGCAGAGAAGGCAGTTAAAGTATAACTTTTCAATGACACCTTGGTTCAACAGGTATAGGAGCTGGCTTGTAACAGGGAAGAACTTCACAGAGCACAAGCAATTTTTCATTGTAACTTGATTAATGTGCAGTTATTGTAGTGTGGAAATTCTTTTAATATATGTGTAATTTGAATTTGATATAAAAACGTAACCTGGGTCATGAATAAGATCATGGAAACAGACCAGAAATTCCAGAAACAGATCTCAGGATTCACTTGGGAATTTAGCATATGGCATTTCAGATCAATAGAAAAAGCCTAGGTTTATATGGTAAGTATTTTGAGACAGCTGGCTAAGATTTGAAATAAAATAAATTTAGATTCTCCCCATTTTACACTAAAATAAATTCCAGATGGATAAAAGATTTAAATGTGAAGGCATAACTAAACCAATCAAAAGCCACAAAAATCATGAAAATATTAGAAGAGAACACGGGAGACCTGATATCAATAATTATCAATGGGGCTTCCCTGGTGGCGCAGTGGTTGGGAGTCTGCCTGCCAATGCAGGGGACACGGGTTCGCGCCCTGGTCTGGGAAGATCCCACATGCCGCGGAGCAACTGGGCCCGTGAGCCACAATTACTGAGCCTGTGCGTCTGGAGCCTGTGCTCTGCAACAAGAGAGGCCGCGATAGTGAGAGGCCTGTGCACCGCGATGAAGAGTGGCCCCCGCTTGCCACAACTAGAGAAAGCCCTCA